AGAGAAAGAAAGGAGCTGTGTGAAGTTTTATGCCTGGCCAGGATGAAAGGCGAGAACTCTGATCTGCTATTTTGTGTGAAAGAGTTAAGTAGAAAGCTATGTATTTCTTGAGGTTCCTATAGTTTGGAAGGTGACAAGGGAGGGGAAAACCTCTCTCCAAGGGGGGGGGATTGTCCCCCTAACAGCTTTTGAAATCAGGCAATCTAGGAAAGAATTGCCCAAACTAATAGAAGATCCTATTGAAGTAGGAAAACAGGATAGAAATGTTTTTAGGACCAATGGAAAGCATGGGAAGGTATTAGGGTACACATGCAGAAATTAGACACATAGAAAACTAAAACAATAGAAGATTTATTACCGGTAAAAGAGGCTCAGAAAGTATATGCGAAGAGAGAAGAGGAGAGAGATAAACGTAAGATAAGATAAAAATTGTGACTCAATTGTTGCAAACAGGCCAGCAAAGAGGATGGGGAAGAGTAATTAGGAAATCAGTAAGGCAGGCTGGGGGTGAGGACAGCCAGTTGGCACAGGGGATATAAATCCCTAGGAGAAAAATTTTCTCCAGTCCTTAAATAAATAAATAAATGTGCCTTTTGTAAGGAGGAAGGACACTGGGAAAATGACTACCTTAAGAGGAAGGAGGGGGAAGAACTAGCAAATTTGGTGAATTTTGAGGATTAGGGGTGTCAGGGGATTAATCTGTTTTTTGGTCCAGCTTTTTAGGAACCCCTGATAAACCTTAACGGTTGGATCCCTGGAGGAGGAAAGGGTGTACTCGGTGGATTCAGGACCACCAGATTTACCCTAAACAATATACCTCCAGGAATGCAAATTCGGAAAGGGAAGATTAAGGATCAGGGAATTGGGGACATGTAGTAGAAGCAACAATATTTAAATCTGCTATGGTCCAGACAGTAGTAAAAGGACCTGAACTTTGTATTGGTTAAAGCAGTGGTTCTCAACCTGTGGGTCGGGACCCCATTTGGGGTCGAACGACCATTTCACGGGGTTCGCCAAACAAGGCTGTCCGCCATTTTTTCCCCTTTTCTTTGGCCACGCCCTGGCACCCGGTGATGTATAACTGGTTGGGGGGTCACCACAACATGGGGAACTGTATTATGGGGTCGCGGCATTAGAAAGGTTGAGAACCACTGGGTTAAAGGGAGCTGCAATTTGGCCAGGAGGTACTTAATTGGTAAATTGGGGATTGTTATTATGGGGAATGAAAGAGAAATAATTGTAAATATTATGACATTGAGTGAGGAAACTCAAGGAAAAGTGGACCCTCTTATATGGGCCCAAGAGGGCAATAGAAGAGGGGTACACATGGATCCTTTAAAGGTGACTTTAAAGAACCCTGGTGAAGTAATTCAGCAGATACAGTATAACATTACATTGGAAGGAAGAATGGGTTTAAAGGCCATGGTGGAAGGGCTGTTGAAGGGGGGTGAAATTTTTGAGCAACCCTTTTAAACATGTTTAGTTTGTTACTTTTTTTAAACCCAAGAATTTCTGCCTTGGAGAAGTAAGAGATGCAGGAAAAAAGAAGAAGAAAAAGGAGGGGGAGGCAGTTTCTGTCTGCATGCTTGTTTGTGTGTATGTGTGTTTTTCAAGAACAGAAATTGGGTAAAATTTCCTGACTGTAAGAATAATTAATCAGTGAGATAATTGTCTCTAGAAACTGTGGATGCTTCATTATTGGAGGTTTTTGGGAGGAGGTGAGAAATCGATAGGGTCTGAAATGGATAGAGTTTCCTGTTTCAGTAAGGGGTTGGACTAGAGGACCTCTAATGTCCCATCCAACTCTGATATTCTGTTTTTGTATGTGTGGCATGCTTCAGTGATTATCCTTTGCATTTTAGTTTGGATTTATCCTTAATAATGCATTTGAGGGTATTCTTGTCAAAGGAACAATCTTATGATGTTTTATTTAACATCTGATAAATATGTGTCTTTGGGACTCCTTGCTACTGCAAAAAAAAAGATGATTAATTGCTGCATATTGTGTGTGTCCAATTTGTTTTCCTTTTCCTTGGAGCCAAGGAGGGGAAGGGAAATCTTTATAGAAAACCAATTTGGTTTCAGGGTTATAGCCACAGGCTGCAAGGCTGGATTTGAGTTCAAATCCTGCTTTAGCCATGAGGGTTGGCTGAGTGTTTTGGGGCTGGTTTATTTTTGTTCAGCCCTAGGAGGGAGGTTTTGGCAAGCCACTTCTGTAAATGTTATGGCAATTTTCCTCCTGAGGGCTGTTTCAAGCAAAAGTTTTGTATACATTTTTACTCTGTCTGGTTTAGTGAGTGGGGGAAGGGGGAGACAATCTTTTGTCTTCTTAGCTATCCTGGTGTTCTTTGATATGCTGCCACAAGAGTGATTTGAATGTTATTTGCCTGAGACAAAAGGCATTCCAGAAATGTTGGCCCAATGCTAATTGGTGAGCCTATGTGCTTTACCTTTTAAAATCCTGAATGTGTTATTTACAATAAGTTTATTGAGTTATATTTTTGTAACATGGTATCTAATCAGGGTGAAAGGGGGAGGAGAAAGAAAAATGTGACAATTTTTGATAGAGCTTCCATGGACAACTATAGTCTATCTGATACAGGACAAATGATTTTTTTTTCTTTTCTTTCCTCCACTTTTAAGCTGTGGAAGCAAATACATTTTTATGTAGCTTCCCAATTTTGTAAGATCTTATTCTGAGAATTATAAAGAAATGGGAAAGCAATTTTTTGGCAGAAGAAAGGATTGAGGGTGTTTAGCAAATAAAGCCCAATTGGTATGAAAGGAGGTAAAATATCTAGAATATATTATAGTTGAAGGGGAAAGGTAAAAGGATTGAGGATATAGTACATTTATAATTACCAAACAACAAAAATGGTCTTAAGGGGATTCTGTGGTTATCACAAGGTACTGCAAGAATGGTGATCCAAAAGCTATATGAGGGGAGTCATTGGGGAATTAAAGCATAGGTAGAAATGTATTTGAAATTCTATGCTACCCTTGGAATTTATGGGATAGCCCAAAGGGCTACAGAGGGATGTTTGATATGTAAAAGGGTTAATAAAGGGTTAAGGCTCCCAAAGGAGGGAGACAAATAGCTAAATGTAGAACAAGTACTGGGGTCTCTGTCTTCTCTTTGACAGGAAGGCTTGGTGGCGCAAACAATTCCTTTTGGAATTTCCAGTCCATAAGACCCAGCCAGGGCAGTGGGTGCTGAATTGTAAATGGAAGGAGGAACTTCTACAACCAAAGAAAGGAAGTTCCTTATGTTAAATCTGCTGTCCGGAGGGCTGAGAAGGTTTGGACTCACTACACATGAACAAAGGTGGTGACTGGACCTGAAAGAGGGTGGACGGTTATTCCAGGACAAGGACTGAAAGCCACATTTAAAAGGACCTGAATGGGTAGTGGACCAGAATCCCTACCTATTTTGAATATCTCTGTTAGAATTTCAGGTGACCTCAGACAAAGAACAAAGATGTTGGTGGTGACTCATCAGAGAAGTAAAAGTTGTTTGTTACAAATAAAATGAATAACTAAGACAGACCATTAGAAACTGAAAATGTAGAATTGTACATTGTAAGAATTAGGTGGTAAATGTATATCTTTTGTTATTGTCACTGTGATTGCTGTATCTGTTATTATTGTTGAAATTGTGGATCAATTTGTGGGTGTGAAATACTGTGTAATAATCATGAGGGGTGGATTCTACTTCTAATATTACTGAAGATAACACACCAGAGCAGCCTGGGAAATAAAGGTAAAAATTTGTTTGTGGGATTTAAAGATAGATGACAATCATGAAGCAGAATGGATATTGCAAAAGGAATCAGGAATGTGGCCAAAGCTCCTGAACAAAAGTATGAAAATATGTGGGGTGATTGGAGTTGGTTAACAAATTGGCTTCCCAATTTTGGATGGTTAAAACAAATATTTATAGGACTAGTGTTTATAGTTGTGATAGGTATTATGTGTTGTGTTTGTCTCCAATGTTTACCCTGCTGTATTTCATTTTGCACCAAAACATTGGGGTCAATAACGAAAAACATCTCTGGAGAAGATATACAGATTCAATTTATGTTCTCTAATATAGCCAAAAATGAAGATTCATCAGAGTATACAGAAATACAGGGGGGATTGATAAATATGCATCAATATGATAAATCTTCAGAGTCAGCTAAACCTACAATACAATGGAAATTAATTGAATAGAAGAATAAAATACAAATGGTGAGAGTCAGGAAGAGATAACATAAAGGAAGTAAGATGAACCATATAGGCAAAAATAGCTGGGTCTGAGAAAGGAAGAAGAGAAGCCATAAAAATATATATAGTTTTTAAAAGGAAATGGCTAGCCAGGAAGGACAGGTTGAAGGGGAAAATAGAAACTAAGCCAAATAAGATAAGAAGAGAGGCACACTGAACTGAAAAGCAGGAAAAAAACTTATTGTTTAAAATGAGGACATAAATATATACTGAGTTTAAAATAACCATTTAAATGTCTAATTTTTCTTATTCTTATTGTATATGTGAATATGATTTAATATGTTATCAGGAAATGTGTATAGGCCAGTGGTTCTCAACCTGTGGGTCGGGACCCCATTTGGGGTCGAACGACCATTTCACAGGAGTCACCAAACAACGCAGTCTGCCATTTTCCCCCCTTTTTCTTAGCTACTCCCTTTTATTCTATTGGCTTTTGAAAGACAATAGAATAGACTCTCTTGAATAAAGTCTAATTCTATTGGCTTTCAAAAGCCAATAGGAATTGTCCAGGCTGTCTCTGCCCTGCTGAGCCCGCCAAAAGTCCCATTCTGCAAACGGTGCTGCACCCGTTGAGTAGTTCTCTACTTATGACCGGTTGGGGGTCACGGCATTAAAAAGGTTGAGAACCACTGGTATAGGCGGTCGGAAAGAGTGTAACCTCATACTACCTCAGCCATTGGGGAAAGAGGAGGGCTGTAGCGGCCGGTGATAGGAATGAATAAAAGAAGGAATTATTTTGGGTTAAAACTTTGGAGAGAACCAAGCTTTGATAGCTTCTCTCCCCGCTTATTGCAATAAACGAAACAAAAGGCCTTCACTGTGTCTTGGCTGGTTATTGGTCAGGCGAGCTTGCCTCTGATCACAAAGGAAAGTGGCCCGGAGCACATAACATGACTTCCCTCAAGAGGGAAAGCATTGTTCTGTCCTCAAAGGCTTCTGTCCATTTCATTCCTGCAAACACCATCTTCTCCAGAAGCTATTTATCTCCAGGAGTGCAAGGACCCCAGCCTGTCCTCTCTTGAATCCCTGGTTCTGGATTTATAGCCTATAGTCTATTTAATAGCCTACTAAAACTCTTTTTTCTGACTCTTTGGTTTCGTAATGTCAGCAGAATCATACTTGCTTTTTTTTCTTTAAAGAATTGTGACATTTGAACCTATTTTGACTTCTGTATTTTGCTATTTCCCATTTTTCTGACACACTTCTTTCCGGGAGGGTTGCTATACCTCTTTTCCAGAATGCTGTGTGATCTGTGTGACCCTCTGCCACCAGTGTCCTTGTGACATAATTTGGAAATCTCCCCTAGATCTTTCCTTGCCCCATAAGCACCTAAGGGCCAGTTGACCTCCCTCCCCCTCCTTTTTCCTTGTGGCAGGGAGGTTAATAAACCATCATCGGTCCCAGGAGCTGGTAGCAGGTGCTCACAGCTTGCTCCCTTGCCGAAATGGGACTAGGAGACGTTGGCAGTGGCTAAGAAGAGGTCTTCTTTTGGGTGGAGATCTAGGGATGGGGAAAGAGGTGGGTGGCATGGCTGAAACGCCTTGGTGCACTGGATTGGTTGCCTGCCTGTATGGACCTCCATCTTCCTTCAGACCTTGGATTCTCATTAGAATTTCAGGCCTGATTTGTAGCATTTTAATTAAAGGCAATAATAGCATTTTAGCATGGCATCCATGCCTCCTTTGGAACTTTAGAAAACTCAACTTTTGGCTGAACTTTTTCTGTGGTGTCCAAAAAACCCCCAGCCCAGCTTTTTCAACAATCAGGGTGGAATTCTGATGTCCTTAATTAAGACTGGAAGTATTAAAGCAACAAACCTAGCTAGCGAAAGGAAGAGATGCAACATATTTTAAGGGTGTCTATCCCTTCTCACATCTAACGTCAATGCCTTCTGTTGTTTGGTGTGTTGCTTTTTGACACATTACACAAAGACACAATCTAAAACTCCCAACCCTGGGAGTTTAAAAATTCTTTTGGTATAAGAGCTGTGGCACCAAACTCTTAAATCAGGATAAAACCTGACCAAGATCAGCCTCTATAATTGCACATGCCCTGGAATTCTCCAGGATCCCGAGCCAGCATCACTTTTCAGGGAGGGGCAGACCCCCCCCCACCAATGAGGGTCCCTCTCTTGCTTCTAAGAATCCTTAATTCAAAGCAGTGTTTCTCAACCGTGGGCACTTTAAGGGTGGACTTCAACTCCCAGAATTCTTCAGCCAGCTATACTATGCTATGCTATGGAATTCTGGGAGCTGAAGTCCACCCCCCTCTTAAAGTGCCCACGGTTGAGAAGCACAATTTGAGTGGATGGATCTAATCATTTAATGTGATCGGAGTTGCATTTTGAGAATTAAAATCCACCAATCTGAGAGACCACAACGTTGAGAAACCCTGCTTTAGAAAGACGCCCTGCTACACATCTCCAACCCGGCGCCCTGCCGCACTAGCCTGGGCGACACGTGAGCGTCTCCCGCCAAAAGGGTCCTCCCAGCGCGAGACGCCGCTTAACCGTCACTCCTGTGGGGCGGGGCGGCGCATGCGCACTGGTGCCGCCCACGGGCCTCAGGGCGTCGGCGGCCTCGGCTTGCCATTTGTGAGGCGCGTTCGCACGAAACGCGCTCGAGAGCGGAGGGGGGTGGTGTCTTCCTAGTCGATCCTTCACCCGAAACGTGTCCTGTCGCTTTCACACGGCGGAATTCGTCCTGCAGGGGATTCCCGCGGGTCTAAAGACAACATGGGGCGAAAGAAAGACCCCTCCCGGGACTCCCCCCTCAGCCAGCATGACCTGGACTGGGCTCAGCAGGGGCTGCTTGGATCCCCGGGGGGCGATTTGAGAGACGGCCCGGACCGGGAAACCCCCAATTGTGGGTGGGACTGGGACTCCCATCATCCCCAGCCGGGGAGATTATGAAGTCAGAGCTTATTTTGGATCGGTGTGTGTGTGTGTGGGGGGGGTGAAACAAAAGAGCCCCCTTTCGTCCGAGTTGGTTTGCGGGTTTTATTTTATGCTGTATTGTAATTGCTTATTTGAATTTGTATTTTATCTTTATTTCTTTTCGGGTTTTTTTTTAATTTATAGAGTGTTTTGACTCTGGGCAGCCAACAGCTAGGAATCAAAGGCTTATTTTAAAAAGGCATAAAAGAGAGGACTCATTCACAGGCTTCAAACGGCTTCCTAAAAGAAGAGTCTGGTGAACTATATTAAAGGACAGACCCCTGCTGGTGTGTGTGTGTGTGTGTCTGCGTTTATTTACTTATTAAATTCATATGCCACACATCTCGCTATCCAGAGAGTCACCCCCTGCCATGCACTGTGCTGCTAGTTTTGTACAATTTTTTTCATATGTCTGTTGCTGCAAACCACCATTCCTGGCACTGTGTCTGGTATGGATGGAATCCCCCCCCCCTCTGCATTTCTTGAAGATGGTTGGGTGGGAGATGTTGCCCAGCTTCCCTCTGCTAGAGGATGATAAATTTCTGCAGCCTGCAGTGGTGGTGTGACTCTAAACCTGCTGAGAAACAATCACCTCTGGTGGAATTTGACAACTATCACAATACCATAAATGTTGCATTATCAAAGAATACAGATTCCTGGCCACCAAACTAGGATTTCCCACTTAGGTTGTATAAAGTGGGGGCAAACTCAAATTTTAGCAGGCTGTCCTTGGGTGCAAGTTATTTTGTCCTCTTTTTCTGAGGCCGTCTCTCTTTGATTGCATCAGGAAAGCCTGGTAATCTTAGGATGTGCTTAACACTCATTTTATGTGCTGTTATCTGGTGCTCCAGAGATTTCTTTTTTCACAAATAATGACCTTGTACTTCTACAGGTAACAATGACAACTACTCTTGTAAAGCCCGATGAAAACAAAAATAAACGTAAAAAAGAAGCAAAGGTGAGTTTGTACTAGGTAGCATCATCATTGTTTAAACTACAGTGATTTCCTTTTCAATTTTGTTGTGTTTATTTAAAATCTTGTGAGTCATGTACCGAAACAAAGGTATGGCTTGGCTGGGGAAATCCATGGACTACTTTGATGTTATTTTTTTTCAACCCTTCACTGTTTTTTTTTTCTCTCCCTTTTTATAGAATGAAACTTCAGGAAATGCACAGTTGGGTTTTTTGGAAAAAAATGATTCGGCTCCTGAAAGCTCCCAGAAATTTCATAAAACTGACACTTTGGAAACCATTTTAAAGGGTATTATTTTGAAAAAAATATTAGCCATTCTTCTTGCCTACATTTACACCCCAATTTTAATGAAATAAATATTTATATTAACAGATACGGGCAAAGAAATCAATGCCTTATTATCAAAGTATGCACAAATTTTGAGGCAAGTAAATTATTTTATTTTTGACATTTTAAAATTTCTTTTTTGAACACATATTCAACTGCTGATGTATCTGATGTTTCTAAAATTGTGTTTTAATCCTTTTTATTTACTAAAAAGGAGAAATAAATCAACTGCACATTGTAACAAAATGCTTTCAGCTAGAAAAACAGATTTAAAATTTAAAGTAAGATTCAAAGTTATTCAGTGTCTTTCTTCTGAATCAACCTATACTCTTAACTATGTACATTGCAGTGGTAAAATTTGGTTAAGTTGTTTTGCCGCCTTGCCTCTCAGAAGTGCGTGCGTGAAGGAATAGTGTCTTGTAATAACTCTCAGTATATCTTTCACATCTGCCCTGGCAATTTCGAAGACCTTGGAGCTGTTTTAGGAGATGTAGGGAGCTCCAGTTACGAACAGGAAAAGGCTCCATAGGTTAAGTGGACTGTCACAAAAAGGAATTTTACCCAAAGTGTTCAAAACAAAACACCAAACTCCCCACATATTGCTACAAGTGAGCACTTCATATAAGCAAAATACCACTATATATACCGTGAATTCGGTATCTTCCAACTAAAAGTTTATAAGTAAGGAAATACTCTCCTGTAATGTGTATTTAATAGCTTATCCTCATTGTTTAAAAATGCTTGGCAACAATTGAGAACATTGATACAAATTTTAGTTTTCTATGTAGCAGTTTTAAATACAGGTGTTTCTTTTCTTTTTATCAATAAAGTGAGAGAGCAGCAATGGATGCTTCATATGTAGAGGAGCTTGAAGGGATCCTGAAAGAAGCTTGTTCTATAGAACATCATTTGAAGTTGAAAAGAGAGAATCTAAGACATAGCTTTGCAGCAATTGCAGGCCCTCTACAAAATGAAGAGGGTTTATCTGGCAAATAATTTAAGGCATGCACTTATTTGTTCTATTGTCTAGGTGGGAAAGCCTTTTAACTTTCATGATATTTGTACTTCCTTTTGTAGATTCGAAAAGTAGCTTACAATTTCAAAACTGTAACTTAAAAGGAGCATCAGTAGTTATAATTCAATTATAATTAAGATGCTGGTTTAGAACAGTTATGTAGAATTGATTTTCTATGGCAAGGACTATCAACCTTTTGAAAGACAGAATGGAAAAAAATCTGGTGTGTTTCATTTAAAGCATGTCATTTCCAGTGAGGAAGCTAATACCATGAACTTGACTTATTTTGACTACATTGCACTCATTTGAATATCATTTGCATAGGAAAAAAGTTATGTGGCTGAGTCATAATGAAATCTTGGCATACAAATCTTTACTTTTGGCTGGGTTGTATATGTTATACTTTGGTAAACTTATATATAAGACTAAAAAGGTGTTTTCACTAAATAGTTTTAAAAAGTGATGTTTTTCTTTCCTTATATTATTTTTTTCCCTTATCAAAAAAAATTATATTTTATAATGTTGGTGACTTTAGCAAATGAAAATAAAATAGAAAGGAAGAAAATAATTGTAATAATGTTCTTATTTTGCTTGTGCATAATAGATCTTGTCCCAAAATAAAATCATGACTTGATGTTAATCTTCAGGAATGGGAGAATTATTTTATACATATGTATAAGTATTATGATTAAACTGTTCATTATATTTTCCACCTCCAATATAGTGCCCTTGTTTTTCATTGCTTTTGAACATCTAGCTGCTACTTTTCTTTCCATAATCTGCTTTCATGTGTTAGTGGGTTAGGACTGGCCATTATTTAAGCTTAAACCTGCAATATCTGATTAGAAGAATTTAGAATGCTTGAAACATCAGGTGAGAAGCCCCCTCAGCTTCTTTTGAGCAATAATCCAAGTCTCTCACCTTATGCACCCATAGGTGGATCAAAACAAACAAAGTTTATCTTCCAATATAAACACGTCTTCCAAAGCATTGCTTAATATTTGCCTGGTTCTCACCCATACATAGTCTGCTCGTACTTCTGCTTGTAGGAAAATGGTTAAGTTTGAAGGAGGTAGGGTACTTTTAGGATTGTACCAGAATAATTGAAGCATTATTTCTTTGGACCTGCAGCAAGATAGGAACAATACAAAATCATGGAAATATTGTTTATGTGTGCACAGGATGTAGATCTTTCACCCTAGAGCCTGTGCACAAAGAAAACTGGCTGAAAGAAATTTAATTACCAATATTTAGCAGCTACAGCAGAGAAGAAAACGGCTGAAGGACAGAGTCCTTAAGATATGATGCTTTTAACTTGGTAAAATGTATGCTGCCTTGATCTTCTGAAGAAAAGGCAGAATATAAATCTAGCAGAACAACTTTTGCCCTTAGTTGATTAATGTCCCTCCTGTGGCAATACCGAGGTTTGGCTGTAATAAAACATGGAGAAGAACAGAAGGCTGAGGGAAAGTTTAGAAAGAATAAAAAAAATGAATGTGGGCAAGAAGGACTAAGTAACTAACTAAGCTGTTGAACTTGGCCTAAACCAGAGAATAAGCCCTGGGCAAGAGGAGATGGAGACTGCAACCTGGCAGACCTCAAAACAACATTTTTCTTCAGGCGTTGTTTTTACATGCTTTGCTTGCTTGGAGGAATGTGTTGCCCACTTCAGAAGCAAACTACTGTAAGAAGGGCTTTGATTTTCCTGGCTGGAAAGACGTGTTCCCTGGCTTAGGATAATAGACAAAAATAGCAGGTGGGTGGCGTTCTTCAAGAACTCTCACCCCCACTGACTGAGCCAGTTATGCTGTGAATTTGTTAAAGTTACATCAAAGCTCCAACTAGCCAACTGCACTTTAGTGCCCGGACACACCCAGCCTGAATGGTTAATAATTGGATATATATTAATTCAATAAAACATGATGAACTATGAAGCAAACAGAGATAGTGTCTTAATCATGTGAAGTCATGCAATTTAGGTCTGTTTCTCCTCCCCCGAAAAGTGATTTGTCGAAGCTTGACGCGAGGTCTGTGCCCGCCTGCTTCTGCCAGTTTTATGCCACCTTGTCTCCTGGTTCAGTCCTGAAGGGGGCGGGGCAGAGTTTGTTGTGAAACGGTTGCACTAAGCCAACAGATATTCCATCATTGTCCTGCGCCTCTTGTGTCAAAGAGCAGCTTTTTTGCTCTGACTTGCAGTCTCTGGCTATTTGCGGCTTGCTTTTTTCTCCCAGCTCAGCATTGTGAAAATGCTTTTCCTCCTCGTTTCTTTCACTGGCTTCCTGCTTCAGAAGGCGATTCTCACTCTTGTGTCTTTGCTCCAATATATCCCAGGTAAGACCGTTTTTCTTTCCATCTTCTGCTAATGGCAGTTTAAAAAAAGAAGAAGCTCTAAACCAGGGGTTCTCAACCTTGGCAACTTTAAGACTTGTGGACTTCAACTCCCAGAATTCCTCAGCCAGCAAAGCTGGCTGAGGAATTCTGGGAGTTGAAGTCCACAAGTCTTAAAGTTGCCAAGGTTGAGCACCCCTGTTCTAAACCATGTAAGATTCAGAGAGATCCACAGAGATCTTGTTGGGGTTCCTTCTTTTAGGAAGCAGGTACGGAGGATTACAGGCTAAAGACAGATTGATTTTGAATTGTGAATTCATGCAATCTTGGGAACAACAGGCAAGTAATCAACATTCTTTCCCTCTGGTTGGGTTTTTATTTTTTCACTTCCCAATTGATTTGACAGTCTTGGAATTATTTTTTTTCAGCATCAGCCAAGAAAAGGAGATTAAAACAGGAATGTTGTCTCCACAGCCAGACTGCTATGCAAGAATGACAGATTTTGCACTGAGGAAATTGCCCAAAACATGAAACACTCAGCTGAATATTTCATCTGCTTTTCCCAGGAGACAAATACGAGCATATGTGGCACTCTAGCCCAGTGGTTCTCAACCTGTGGGTCGGGACCCCATTTGCGGTCGAACGACCATTTCACGGGGATCGCCAAACAACGCAGTCCGCCATTTTTTCCCCCTTTTCCTTAGCTGTGCTACTCCCTTTTATTCTATTGGCTTTTGAAAGCCAATAGAATAGACTCTCTTAATTCTATTGACTTTCAAAAGCCAATAGGAATTGTCCAGGCTGTCTCTGCCCTGCTGAGCCCGCCAAAAGTCCCATTCTGCAAACGGTGCTGCACCAGTTGAGTAGTCCTCGACTTATGACCGGTTGAGTAGTCCTCGACTTACGACCGGTTGGGGGTCGAGGCATTAAAAAGGTTGAGAACCACTGCTCTATCAAGATGGAGTGCATGTATGAATTCAGCCAAGTGTGTCTGTGATGAATTCCCTATTGGAATGAGCACAAGAAGGCTGGAGAAGGCTCCTAGTTGTCCCACTATCAAAGGTCCATAGTTACGAAAGTCATCCAAGCAGACCTCAGTTAGAATCTGCACAGATACTCGGTGTGGACAAGATCTTTACAGGTAGTCCTCGACATACGACCACAACTGAGTCCAAAATTTCTGTTGCTAAGTGAGACAGTTGCTAAATGAATTTTGCCCTATTTTATAACCCTTTCCACAGTTGTTAAGCAAAGCATTGCAGTTGCGGTCATTGTTAGTAACGTGGTTATTAAGTGAATCTGGCTTCTCCATTGTCTTCGCTTGTCAGAAGGTCGCAAAAGGGGATCAAGTGACCCCTGGGACACGGCAACCGTCATAAATGGGAGTCGCTTGCCAAGGGCTTGAATTTTGGTCACGTGACACCATGGGATGCTGTGTCGGTGTGAGAAATGGTCCCGAGTCCCTTTTTTCAGTGCTGTTGTGCTTTCGAACCGCCACTAAACGAACTCTTGTAAATCGAGGAATACCTGTGCTGCCATCCAGAAACGGCAGAGAAGGCAAAGCTTGGCAGGCATTGAGAATTATTACAACGGTCTGGGGAATGGGTCCCTTTTCTGTGTGCAGAGCTGCTCCCCAGAGGGACCCCACAGTTGCCTCACATTCATTTCTAAACCTCCGTCCGTTGCCTCAGACCAGAGAGGGAGGGAAGTGGCGGAATTATCTAGGACAGTGTTTCCCAAACTTGACAATTTTAAGGCATGAGGACTTCAACTCCCAGAATTCCACAGCCAGCAACGCTGGCTGTGGAATTCTGGGAGTTGAAGTCCACATGCCTTAAAATTGTCAAGTTTGGGAAACACTGTCCTAGGAGGCTCCCTTGGACGCTTGGCTGAAACGGAGAGAGCTTTGAAGTGGTCAAAAACGGGCAGGACCCTTGTTGGGCCAGGTCAGGTTGTATAGCCCTGTGTGATCATTAACCTCGTCAATAGCACTGACCTGCCCTATTTCAATGACAGTGTGAGAGCCAGGCTGTACTATTATTATTATTATGAATAATAATTATTTTAATGGGAGAAGAGAGAATTCATCATGGTAGTGACCCAAAAAGCAGTATTAAACAATGGTGGCTTGATTTTTAATTTAAATTTCAGCCTTTGGCAGAGACTTATCATTTGAACTCCTTGCGTATTTGGATCCCCAAACCTCTCTCTTTCCTCTCTGGTCAACCCCCTAAGGAAAAAGAATAACCACAAAACCCTTTGTGGACCCAAAAGGACAGGAAGGGGTTTCTCATGTGTGCAGTAGGGTAGTGGACAGAAGCCCTCATGGCGAGATGATGGAGCACAACGTACCATTTCCAGTGCATGCAATGTGTGCCTTCTGATACATTACTGGATACCCAATGCATAATCTCAATCAGCATTGCTAACACATGTACTGCCCTGTTTATTTCAGTTTTCCCTTTATACTGTGGCATGCTTCAATTAATACATAGGAAGTTTAGTTTTCCAGTTTTGAGACATCTTTGCTTTTTTTCAGTTGCAGTATAGTTGAACCCAACCCCAAAACTGTTCTTCAAGGCATGTTCAACCTGCAAACTGAGAATTTGAAAATATTTCAGGGACATCTACCTCAATAACCTTGATCAGAAGCATCCTTTTTTCCTCTTACTTAGCCGATTCCTAAACATGCAGTTGACCTTTGTGCATAATATGAAGCGGTAACTTCAGGATTGTACCCAGGATATTAACCCCTTTCTCTTTGCTAATTGCTTGGTTTGTCTCTGCAGGGATAAGAAATCTGGTGTCCAAGCAGAAGGTTCCAGTTACTTATAGCCACAAGAAGGGCTTAGAATGCATCTCGCCATTATTCTCCACTGTAGAAGAAACACCTCAAGCAATCCCAATAAAACTTCAAGGGCAGATTCCCAAATGGCTGAAAGGAAAGCTAGTGAGGAACGGGCCAGGAAAATTTGAATTTGGACCAGATAAGTACGCCTTTTTCTAGTGCTATGGATGCTGTTGTCTGCTCTGCAAATGATTAAAAAGCCAGCAGATAATTTTGTTCTGGTCTGCAGTCTTGATCAACCTTCTCCATTCATGTTCTTCAATAATTCTACCAATCATTTTTGTCTTACGAAGAATCCCTGAGTGATAATACGGATGTTTTTGATTTAAGGGAGATATAACGACAACAGAGGACTGGGAGAAAGCTGAATTAGTAATATTTTTTTAAGGTGTGTGTGTCTTCTTTAGAAATATGTTTTAACAATTTAGAAATAATACCTTAGCAAGAATTACAGTCTTTAAAATTTGCTGTACACTTTGTGTGCAGCTGTATACTGAAATGAGAATTTTCTGGTCATCTAAGAAACTGAGTGGATGCTTGGAATATGTAGGATAAACTTTACACAAAACTTTCTCCTCCTTTAATCTGGATTTTTCTTCTCCAAATGAAGGTTTAACCACTGGTTTGATGGCATGGCACTTATGCATAAGTTTGAAATTGAGGATGGGGTGGTGAATTACAGCAGCAAGTTTCTCCGGAGTGATTGTTACCTGACCAACAGCAAGAACAACCGAATCATGATGTCTGAATTTGGCACCTTGGCCATACCAGATCCTTGCAAGAACGTTTTTGAGCGCTTCATGTCAAAGTTTGACTTGTCAAGTAGGTATCTTTCTTGGATCAGTTTCGCTCATATTCTGCATCTGAAGTTTCAGTAAGGAAATGCTGAAAGGCAGTCCACCAAATTTCTCTTGTAAAAAACGGGGAGGCAGAGGGTAAGGAAACCTCTGGGCAAAGCTGGAGGTGACATTCAGTTTGTCTTCCAACTCTGTCCTTGGCACATTTAACTCTGAATCAGAAATCAATTTTAAGGCATTATGCCATTTACTGTAGGAGAAGAGTGGCAGAACAGACTAAGATCATTTGTGACTATGTAAAGTCTCTAGCTGGTTCCTCTTTGGACTCCACCCCCATTTTAGCTACTCCTTCTCCTACACTTTCAGTTTTTTGATCCTGGCAACTTGGTGACAATGGAAATATTTTCTGTACTGAATTTATGACACTCCAATGAGGTGAATTTTATATTGCAGAAGAGACAGACAACTGCCTTGTGAATTTTGCAGTCATCAAAGGTGACTATTTTGTCAGCACGGAGACCAGTCAAATGCACAAAGTGGATCTGGACACGCTTGAATCAAAGGAGAAGGTAAAGGAACAGAGCAGGCAACCTGGCACTGGGTTAGCCTATCTCACCATCTCATCCATTACTACTTAAATCTGGATTGACAGACAGTTTTTCAGGAGCTCTGGAGATGCTGCAGATTCAATCGGGCTCTTCTACAGAAGATCTACTAGTCATGCTCACCCCACAAAACAACTTTTAGATTCAGAAATAGGACCGTAATGTTTTACAATGAGTTGTTGAGATCAGCTTTCCCCACCCTGGCTGTCAGAATCCAATTATATTTCATCTCTAGTTATCGACTATGGAAAACCCCATTTCTGCCTTCTCTGGATTCTGTCATACGATGAAGGGGAAGGGGGGTGAACAAAGGGGTTTTATGGCCCTCACTTCCTTCAGTACAACTTCAAAGGGATTGAATGTGGATACCACCAAAAGGACTAATCATAATAACGGGGCCATCAGCTTTCATCTACTCCTCTCTCAAGTCTCCCTTCCACCGGCAGTGAGGAAAAAGGGGGTGGAAATGTAACGCCTGGGATTGTCGCTGGAAGGATGGTGGGGTGGGGTGGGGCTGCTGGGGACCCCTTAAAACCTTGAACTATAGGGCTTGGGCCCCAGGTCCTGTCTAGAACGCCTGCAACCATTTTCTCTTAATAAAGATGCCTGTTGGAAGAAATATTCCAAGAGTTCTGTCTTCTTAAGATGCAGAGTGGGGTGGGTCCTTACACTGGCTCTGTCCAGATGTGGTGATGACACCTCTCAGCTGGTGTGGGAATTCTGAAGGCTTCAGTTCTATCTGGAAGGTCTCCACCTGAAGTAAGATGACTTGCTATCTTTGTCCTTGTAGGTGAACTGGAAAAAATATGTTGCAGTGAATGGAGCCACAGCCCACCCACACTACGATCCAGATGGAACAGTCTACAACATGGGCAACTCTTATGGGATGCATGGTAAGACCAGATTCAGAGACAAACAGACTAGCATTTTAACGTCTGGAATTAAATATTCATCTCAATGTGTGGCTTTGACTTCATTGGTGAGTACTGCCTCCATTTCTCCCAACCCAAGCCTTCTTGGCTTTTTACTCCAAAGTGACAGTTGCTTAACAGACACATCAAAAAACCTCAGTCAATTCAAACATGACAAGTATTTTTTCAATGCGTAGATGCATAGGTTTTTAGCTAGATGCTACAGTCCTTTTGACTGGATCAGAGGACCTGGAAAACGTCTGATGTTTTAAGTCTGAATTTTACACTGGAATGAAGATGAAGTGGCTGTGGATTTCTCCTACAATGCATCATCTTGGCTGTCTCCCCTTCCAAACTTTTAATGGGTGCTGCCCATATCTCATTTCCAAATTCAATTATTGTTCATAGGAAGCATTGTTTATAGCACAAGGTACAGCAGTCGAGGTGAGCCAATTCCGCAATCCATCTGCAGCTGATTAGCTGGAATCACAGATCCAAAGAGCTGGTCTTTCTCTCTTACAGGCTCCAACTATAACATCATCCGTGTTCCTCCCCAGAAGTCTCAGCCTAGTGACTCCAGCCTGCAAGGCGCAGAAGTGCTGTGTACCATTGAACCAGAGGACAGAATGAAACCAGCCTATTATCACAGTTTTGGTGAGAGGACCATCCTCCTTTTAAGTAGGCCATTGCCATCTTTATTGGAAATGCCAGAAAGAGGCAGCTGGAGTTGTAAAAGTGGAATGATGAAAAGTAGGCCAGTAATTTGGGATGCTGCTAGTGTGATCTATCACACTGCCTGAATAAAATCAAGTAGAACAGGAAATGTAATATGAAAGATTAAATTAATGAAATTCATTGCTCCAAGCCACAAATGATCCACCAGAGCAGTTCATACAAAACAATGTAACATCCTTTGCTAGCTGGTGGCTATAATAAATTGAAATTGAAATCATGCCCTGAGAGATGCTTTAAAAACAACATCAGTAAAACTAGGAAGTTGAACAAAAGTTGTTGGCTCCTAGCTGTATCCAATCACTGGCCTTCCATTGGAAGCTGGAAGGGGGATTGCGTAAACGAAGCATGGCAATTCCTTTTTTTAAAAAATTGTTGATAAAAAGGAAACGTACCAATTCCTACGTAGGTGGTGTAGCAGCACCCTCAGGCATTACATTTGATTCACAGAGTGTTAAATGGGATGATTTGAAATTACTGGCCATTACATTGGATAATCTGAAATTGTTTTGGCAACAAAGGAGGACGCCGGCAGGTGAAAAGATAAGGCAACCCTGTTGTTGGAAAAGTCCAGGTAATTAGATGGAAGAATGGAATCGGCTCTTCATGAAAAGAAGCAGCCCAACTCTTTTCTTCTTCTGTTTCTAGGAATGAGTGAAAACTATGTGATTTTTATTGAGCAGCCCGTCCAGATAAAGTTGTGGGAAATCACTATAGCCATTTTTTTGGGGAAATCCGTTCTGGATGGACTGAGTTGGGAGCCTCAGCTAAACACCCGCTTTTATGTCGTGAACAAGCACACGGGGCAGGTGAGTCAGCGGTTTAGCTGGATCTGGTGACTTCCTGGTATATCTTCTCTGGGCTCTGCAGGAGCAGGCAGACAAGACTTTTGCTCTTCTCATCCTGGCTGGTGGAAGGTATCCATGAGCAAAACAAAGTTTTCCCTAGATTATTTTGGGGTGGCAGCTCCCAGAATTCCTCTGTGGTATTGGCCAGAGTGGCTGAGAATGGTGAGAGAGTTGAGGTCCAGAGATCTTTGGAGAACATCAGATTAAGAAAGATTACACCAGGAAAGATCACTTCTAAACTTCTTTGATTTGCCCATTAAAATCCTTTCAAGCATCACCCTGATATATAAGCAAAGATTTTTAAGAAATTGTGCCCAGGACCAATTTTTGGGGTGTCACCGAAGGGCAGGAATTCACTCTCATGTCTTTCCCTCTTGTTGCAGACCTTACCCTTGCAATATCATAGCAAGGCCTTCTGCTTTTTCCATCATATCAACGCCTTTGAGGACCAGGGCTGCATCGTCCTGGATCTCTGCTGTTTCGATGATGGGAAAGTTTTTGACATTTACCGACTGCAGAACCTCCACAAGGCTGGGGAAGCCCTTGACCAGGTACTGCTGCTCTGCCCTCCATGCTGTGGACACTGAAAGGGAGCTTCATATTGTAGTCTAGCTTGGTATCTCCCAGGGGTGTTGGAGCATGGTGCTCCAGCCCCAGACAAGGGAGGAATTCTGAGGGGAAGGAACCCAGGCAGACAGGAGGTGGAGACGTTCTCTTGACTCTTGGCCATCCTGCTCTTCATCCTTGTGGCGTGATCACAGAGTGTGGATTTGTTTATCTGTGCAATGACTTTTTTTTATTGTCTCGGCAGACCTACAACAAACTCCCAAAGCCATTTCCACGGCGCTTTGTTCTTCCCATCACTGTGAGCTCCAAGGCATCTGTGGGGCAGAATCTTAACCCTTTGTCCTACACGTTGGCAGAAGCTGTGAAGGAGGAGGATGGGAAGGTAGATAATTTGTGCATGCATCTCTGTGTGTGTGTGTGTGTGTAATTTAGAAAGAATGAAAACATTCAATTTTTCTTGTCATCCTTTGGAAATCTTACCATCCTGCAGACAGCAGCTAGACTTGGGAAAAATAGCGGGAGTTACATAAATGGGATCATTTTTCCAAAGACTAACTACCAAAGAAAATTAAGCTATGGAGAACTTGGATCAAAGGTATCATGGGTTGAAGCTTAAACTCATTGAAAGGAGACCCCAGATCTGGGATGTTTAAAAAGGAAGACCCTCATGTCAAGGTACAGCTCATTTTATATTCATGAGAAAGTTAAGAACCAACATCTGGAATTTGGAAATCGATCACTGCCTCCCTGTTCCGTGGTAAACTTGCTTGCCTCCAAGAGACTCCCCTCCTTGCTATTACGACCATTGTAGCAATCCTCATAGTTACATGATCAAAGTTTGGATGCTTTACAATGATTGTAGCATCTCAGGGTCCTGTGATGGTCCTTTGTAACCTTCCCAGCTAGTTTCCGACAAGCAAGGTCAATATGGGAGGCGGGACTCACTTAACAACCACTTTGCTTAATGGTGGAAATTCTGGTCCCAAATGTGGCTGTAAACTGAGGACCACTGTGCTCTTCAAATGGCAGGGCCTCAAAACATAAAAGCATTGAGTGGCAGGAAAGTTCCTGGAGAAACTCAGCAAGTCCAAATAGCAGATATGTAAGGATTCCACAATGTGATTGGTTCTGTGTTGACTCGTCTAGATCTGGTGCACACCTGAAAGTCTACACAACGAGGACCTCAAAGAAGCAGGAGGAGTAGAATTCCCTCAGATCAATTATGCACATTACTGTGGGAAAAAATATCGTTATTTCTATGGCTGCAGCTTCGGTCATCTCGTTGGAGACTCCTTGATCAAGGTTGATACAGAAACCAAGGAGATGAAGGTGAGAAGATGGGGGAAGTGATGTTTTTCTGTTGTTATGGTGTGATGGTAGTGGTGGGATTCAAATCTGTGTGGATGCCACTTCCGGAAGTCCATTTTGGGCCTGGGCAACAAAAAAATTATCTACCGGTTCTGCCGAAGTGGTGCGAACTGGCTGAATCCCATCACTGTGTGGTGGGGATGGAGTTCCACCTCAAAAGCTCACGAGAAGAAACCTCTTCTGTACCCTTTGCTTTGCCCACCAGATCTGGCGCGAGAAAGGGATGTATCCTTCAGAGCCCATATTTGTGCCAGAACCTGGTTCTTCAGCAGAAGACAAGGGAGTGATCCTCTCGGTGGTGCTCACACCCAAGCAGGTAAGTTAGGCCTCACTGCAGAGGTCAAGACCTATTTTGAATATTCCTTTCAGATTCCTGAAAGTGAATTTCTTGTGCTGTCTACTGAAATCTGCAGGCATTTGGGGCTTCAAAATGCTAGTAGGTCTTTCTGGAACTCCTCTGTATCTTATGGTTTACTTTTCTTCTTCAGACCCCTACAAGAGCAGAGAAAATAGATGCTTTGAATGGGGAGACAGCACTGAAGAACTGTTATCCATTATTTCTCTTTATTTCAGAATCAAGGTAGCTTCCTTCTTGTTCTGGATGCGGAAAATTTTGCCGAGCTGGGCCGTACTGAAATCCCTGTCCAGATTCCTTACGGTTTCCATGGTGCCTTTGTTCCCAACAAAAATGCCACCCGCTAAGATAGGGGTGATTCGGGATCTGCTCCGGGATGCCCAAAATGCTGTGGACAAATTACTTCCTCTAAATGTGCTTTAAATTCCTAGGCTACCCAATCGTGCTCTACTTTGATTCAGAGTATAAACACAGTATAAATTCTTTGCCTATGTCCTTAATTCTTCTATTAATTATCGTAATTTGTGGTGGAATGTAGCCTGGATTCCCAGGAGAGAGAGACTGCATCCCAGAGGACAAAGAGGCAGCGGAACTTGGAAAGTTTGGTAGAGGGTTAAACGCCCCCTCCTTAGCGATTTCCAGAGTTTGTCTGTAGACTCTTAGTCTGGCAAGAGTTTATCGATAAGTGAAGAATAATAAAATACTCAAATCACTCTTGAGTAATTCCACATGCCATTCTTGGTCCTTGTGGCCTATCAGGTTTGAACTTTGTACAAACCTGGCTCAGAGCCCTTCAGACACTGTTGAGCAACGTTGGCAATCGTATCAGATATATTTTTTCTTTGTACCTGGGGCATCTCAGCTCATTAACCCTAGACTCAATTCAAGCTGTAGCCAATTCACCCTTGAGGTCCCACCTTGAACCCACCTCTCTGTGAGAGGGGCTGTTCTTCATTTTTGGAGAAGCCCCACTTTTCTCAGTCCCCACTTTTGGGCTGTCCATCTAAGGGCAGAGAGACCCTATCAGCATGCAGTGGACCTCCACTTGTCAAGACTTCCCTGGTCTGCCCATCACAGATAGGCAGGCCTTCTGATGTAGGCTACAAAGAACTTCACGACCTAATTCCAACCGACAATCCTAATTCTTTTTCCCCAGGAGGTGTCATTAATAAGCACCTTCTCCCTTAACTGCCCAAATTTCTGAGATATATGAAAACAGCTTATTCTTTTAACTAGGACTGGACTCAGGATATGCAACAGACAGTCCCACCCACAACTACCAATGGCAAAGGCAAGAGAAGCAAGGCAAGACATTTCTCTAACCTAGAACTAAAGAGAAATCTCCTGACAGTTAGAACAATTAAATCAGTGGAACAGCCTGCCTCCAGAAGCGGTGAATGCTCCAACACTGGAAGTTTTTAAGAAGAGACTGGACAGCCATTTGTCTGAAATGATGTAGGATTTCCTGCCTGAGCAGGCGGTTGGACTAGATGACCTCCAAGGTCCCTTCCAATTAATAACAATAATAATTATTATTATTTAAATCAAAGGTTGGGAAGTAATTGCCAACCAGCACGTGGGAAGCACAAGTGCTGATCATTCAGGTTGCTCAACAGCATCAATTTCTCTGATCAGAAACGGCCTTGAGGGCAGAATATAAATGAATCATAACGGAACAATGAGGACTTCAGGAAATTTTAAACATGTTCTGGTTGATAATTAAGCTTGATTCCTGAGAATGCGGCTCAATTAAATGCAATTTGCCCTACAATTCTCTTCCTCCCCCAGCTACTGCATCTATCCAACGAGGGTGTGGAAACAAACGCTCTTCTGTGCAGAGAATCTTCTCCGGTGCCAAGAGTGTTCTGGCACAGGCCAAGAATTCAGTCTTAAACTGATTAGCGCTTCAGAGGTTGAAATACTCTGGGAAGGAAGGCATTTCTTGGGCCAAGATCTTTCTGACCTTGTGAGAAGCTTGAGGAGGAGGCAATCAAAGGTCTCGGAAAGTCTGGATTAAGGAAGGTTGAGGACCATCTATGGAAGGGGTCTCCAACCTTGGCAACTTTACATTTGTGAACTTCAACTCCCAGAATTCCTCAGTTAGTATGGGAGTTGAAGTCCATAAGTTGCCAAGGTTGGAGACTCCGGGGCATATTTGAAGCTTTCAAGTCAAGTGGGACAGCTAACAGCAGGCTCCAGTTCCCAGGGCGAGTTTCCCAGTTCACCAGCAGATGAGAAGAGGGACGGGGTGGGGTCTTCAGGGTTCCTAAGGCCCTTGAGATGTTCAGTCTGGAGACTAGGGGGAGAGACCATGAGAATTCCAGACCCCGTGAAGGAGGTCAGGAATTGTTTTTCAAGGCCGCATAAAATAGGAGCAGAACCAACTGGGGTAAATTGCAGCTGCCAAGTTTTCATTTAAGTGTAACAGAAGACTTCCTGATGGGAATATCCATTCAATTATCCAGGGCAATATTTCTCCACCTTGGCAAGTTGACCATGTGTTGTCTTCAACTTCTAGAACTGGATCCTAGAATTCTGAACTCTGGGCGGCTCCCAATTGAAAATGAACACAGCACACAAAGCCCTATTAAAAACCCATTAACAACATTAAAAGAACAAAAAACGTGGCCCAGAGTCAAACTTCCCAGGGCAATCTCAACTTAACCCAGTGTTGTGTTTGCATTTACACTAATTTTGTGGTTTGCATTTACACTAATTGACAGAGGAAGGAATCCCCAAGGGAGCAAAGAGGTGTCCAGCGGGAGGAAGGTGCGAGGGACAGTAAGGGGTCCAAAGCCCCCAGCTTGTAAACTGATTAAAGTCTAGTCAGTTCATGCCCTGCCTGTTAACTTGCCAGCGGGGCTTTGCAGGGAAGCTCACTTAGATGCCCTATTCAAAACCCCGGGCAATATTTCACTTTTAAGGCCAGGGCCAGAGGGCATCCTTGTTTGGCCGAATGCCTGGTAACGCCTGCCAGCTCGAGCTTGGCCAGCGGTCCGGCCCCTTTGGCAGAGGGTCTCTGCCCAGGGCTGGAGAGATCCTGCGGGTGGCCTAAAGGCTCGCTGCAACTCCCCAGGGACGGAGCAACCACGCCTCCTGCACGGCCACCTTTTGCAGCGGCTTCTCTCCCCTCTCCCGGCTAGTGCCAGCTCCCGGGCACCCGCCGCCACGCGCTCGCCCACGCTCTTTCCCAAGCCCGGGCAGAGGGGCGGGGCCCAGGCTCCGGGGCATCTCTCTCATTCGCTCGCTCGCTCCCGCCCCTCCCTCCCCGCGCACGCGCGGTGACACCCGAGCGGAGCCGTTGCCATGGCGCTGCTGCCCGCCCGCCTGGCCCGGGTCTCGCGCCGCGCGGCTTTCAGCGCCTCTCACCGGCTGCACAGGTGAGAAATGCGGTTGGGGGGGGCAGGAAGAAAGGACTCCTGGGCGCGTGCAGAGCACCGGGCGCCTCCGGCCGGAGGAGAAACGGCGCTCCCGCCTTCTCCTCTGGGGTGTGTATATGTGTGTGTGTGTGGGGGGGCGCAGATAGCAAAACGGGCACGGTGCCCCCCGAAGTGTGTGTGTGGGGGGGCTGTTCTTAGGCATATCTTTGAAGAATTAAGCGCCCCTCCCAGGCAACTCAGCGTAGCCGTTTGAACCCTTTAAAGCAGGGGTTCTCAACCTTGGCAACTTTAAGACTTGTGGACTTCAACTCCCAGAATTCCTCAGCCAGCAAAGCTGGCTGAGGAATTCTGGGAGTTGAAGTCCACAAGTCTTAAAGTTGCCAAGGTTGAGAACCCCTGCTTTAAAGGCAGGAGCGGCGCTGCCCACCAGGCGCCGGACTCCCTACACCCCCTACATCCCCACCCCTCCCAGACCCCCGCAGCCCCAAACGGTAGGGGGAGAGGAGGCTGGAAGGGCCCGGGACGCAGTGCTGCCCCTGCCCAGGTTTCTTTACAGAATCTGAAGGTTGGAAGGGGCCTTGGAGGTTATCTAGTCTATCTCCCTGCAGGGACAGGGTCCCTCTGAGCATTCCAGGACAAGGGTTGGCCCACCTGGGGCTGGAGCCCCCTCCCCAATCCCAGGGATGCCCCCCTCCAAGAGGCAAGCTGCCCCCCTGCTTTGTAGCTCCCCCATTCAGGAGATCCCTCCTTCTCCTGGATTGGGATCTGGTCCTGCCTCTGCGAAGCCAGCCCGGCTTCCTCTCCGCCCTCCTGGCTTGCTTTGGGCCCCCCTGTGGGGCCTCTGGGTTGGGGGTTCCCGCTTATGAAGCCCAGCCGGTCTATGGGTGAAGACTGGCGGGCCGGCCAGGGATGCCAGGGAGGGTGTCCACCCTCTTCAAGGTGCTTCAGGCAGTTGCACCCAACGCGACTCCTAGCGCTGCCTTTATTGTTAAGAAGACAATTTTAAAAAGAATCTCCTCTTCTGCCTTCTCTGCAGCCCGTCGCTGAGTGATGAAGAAAATCGGAAGCTTTTTGGAAAATGTAACAACCCCAATGGCCACGGCCACAACTATAAAGGTGAGAAGGGATGGCCTCCGTCTCTGAAATCAGGAGAAGCCGAGAGGAGGAAGGAACCTGATGCCCCATCATCCACAGAGCGATGAGCCTTTGGGATGAAAGGTCACCTATCCAGGGACCTTCAACCTGTGAAAATTACATTCCTGAGACAGACTTGATGTGTGCATGAGTGTGTGCAATTATTCATTTTGCACACTTGCAGAAGCCACTATACAGCATAAATTGTTTTCAAAACACTGCCGGTTACGAACTGCATAGGGCGACGTACAAGTATTACCAATTAATTCCAAGTAAAAATGTTACCTGAACAATTTTGTTACGTTGGCAAGCTAGTTGAATGATCAATGATTCAATGACCATTCAAAATTACCATAGTGGTAAAAGAGATATTCTGAAGAGAGAGAAATTCCCTGATAGTGGGCTCCATCATGAGCCCAAAAGCTTAGAAAACTAAACCTTTAGTCCCAGTAACCAACTTAGACTGGATCCTGTAGACTTATGACTGATCCTTGTAGTTGCAGACATTGCAACATCCTTGTGGTCGTATGATTGCAGTTTAGGTGCTTAGCGAACAGTTTGCAATTAAGATGTTGCAGCATCCTGCATTTACATGATTGTGATCTGCAATGTTCAGTGCCAACGTCCGACAAGCAAAGTCAATGGGGAAGCTGGCATAGGTTGCAAATGTTGATCATGTAACTGCAGGATGATGTGTCTGTGTGAGATCCCACCTAACAATGGCAAACGAGAGTACTGCAACTGCTGCATAACTCGGCACAGTTATGTGACACACTAAAACTGTGTCACTTAGCTGTGGAGTTCCAGGTCCCAATTACCATAAGGAAGCAAGGACTTCCTGTATTTGTTTTCAGATTTGTATTGATGATGATGAAATATAATGGAAAGCAGGAAGCTTTCTTAAATTCCTGGCGGAAGTTATCCATGTGGTATATTGTTAATATATTTATTTCCTTTGCTGATTATCTTAAGTGCAATCAACATCACAATCTGATCTTCTCTTGCTCCTTTTCATTTCTTCTAGTGGAAGTAACTGTGCAAGGAGAGGTAAGTGAAATGTTTTCAGATTCTAAACATTTGCATTTTCTTTCTATTTTTTCCAATAAGTTTATTAAAGATTGTATTGTACAAGTGAAACGTTTATGTTTATAGAATAAAGAAATACTTTTTAATTTTTTTAATTAAAGTGCAGAATAAGAAAACAAATAGAAAAACAAATCAGCCCCTTTGCCTCCAGTAAGTATAATTAATATTAACAACTTTAAAAATACAGCCAACAATCTCTTTATTCCATATCTCATTCCAGTTTCCATTTCTACACCCTTATCTTTCCTCTACTATTAAACAGCAAAAAGGTTTTAGAAATAATAACATAAATATTAGAAATTATATCTATCATACCCACTCTTTGTATTTCCTTTCTAGATCAATCCTCTTACAGGGATGGTGATCAACCTTACGGATCTCAATGCCTACATGGAGGTAAAAAAGCTCTTTTCATCCCAGAGGTTGCCAGCAGAGATGAGCCATGCACATGGACTTCATAGGCAGTCTGGGATCCACTGGGGGAATCAAGGCATACCAGGAAGTGCTGAGTGCAGTTTGATAACTTTAGCTTCTTCCTACGTGTGGGTGGAGGATAAGAAGCAAGGGAATGCTGTAGCCTTCCAAAGGAAAGCAAGAGATAGACCATTTTCTTGTCTCCTAAGATCTCACTGGTGGGAGGAGAGGATGAATTTTTACCCAAATAGAAAACATTAAAGAGAAGATGACAGGTTTATTTCATTTCTTTGCAAAAATGGCTACGGAGCTCTTGACTCATGCCATTGAATATTTATCTGCCACTTAGCTGTGTGAGGCAGTCTCCCAACGAGTCTGATTAATTTCGGAGTGTCTTTCATGGGCCTAAAAGCCTAATATCTCTGCCTTATAGGAAGCCATAATGGAACCTCTTGATCACAAGAATCTGGATAAAGACGTCCCCTACTTTGCAGATGTTGTCAGGTAGGGTGACTCTCTATTCTGGGCCCTGTGCAGGCCTATTTTCTAATCCTGAACCTGGAGAGTGCTTTTGAGGCTTTTTTTTTTCCTTACAGGTCTCTGAATTGCCTAAATTATTCAGGGAAATTTAATGTTACAGCAGGAGGAAAAAACTTGTAAAGGATTGCTCTAATTTTTTTCCTGGAAGGACTGCCTGCTTGCTCAGGAGATTTGCCAGTGGCAAAGAGATCTAGAAACTTGGTTTTTCAAAATCAGTGTTCTGGACTATTGGAGAAATCAAGACTGACTGTGTTTCATTCTACTGGTCCAGACAATCCCAACCTGATAGTCTTTAAGTAGTTTTGTGGCTGGAACTTAGAATTCCAGGCCAACACAAACAAGTAACCTCAACAATTGTCACTGTGCAGGAATCTGTGAAAGGAAACACCATAGCAGAAGCAGTTTTTCCCTCTGGTGCAGCCACAGAGCAGGAGATAAAAACATCACTAGCAAAGCAGCATAACTAATTCTCAGGTTTTTTCCCCCCCCCCAGTACTACTGAAAATGTTGCTGTGTTCATTTGGGACAATCTCCAGAAATGCCTTCCTACGGGGACCCTTTATAAAGTCAAAGTATATGAAACTGAGAAGAACATTGTGGTTTACAAGGGAGAGGGAGCTGCTTCCAAGAAGTGAGATGCTTGTGATTGTGCCGTCTGTGCCGTTAATTGTCAGTGAACAACTCAGTCAGTCTGTCAACCATCCATCCATCCACCAATGTATTATTGCACTTGTGATTGTAGATGTTGACCTCTTTGTTAAAGAATCATGTCAGTGAGTAGATATGAAGCAGATGTTTTATGCAACTTGGTGGTATCAAATTTTCCTGCTGTGCAAGCATTCAGTTTGATCCGAGTAAGAAAGATAGCAATTCTTTGTTCATTACTGTTTGTTCCTGTTTCAAGAGAAAGTCACTGCTTTTTCAATGATGATAAGTGTAAATCCCAGGGCTTATTTGAATACAGTAGGGAATTTTCCTGGTCCCAAGCAGCTTATTTCCCTTTCCCGAACTACTGCAGTGAATTTACTGCATAATTAAGCCAATTGCTATAATTAAGGTCATTCCCGTACTCTTTTATGCAAGTTATGGTTGTTCAGTTGCTAAGTCGCGTCCGACTCTTTGTGACCGCAGGGACCACAGCATGCCGCCCCCTCCCCCCTCCACTGTCTCCTGGAATTTGCCCAAATTCATGTTCATTGCGTCAATAACATTATCTACCCATTTCATGCTCTGTTGTCCCCTTGTCTTTTTGCCTTCCACCATCTTTCCCAACACCAGGGTCATGTTTTATGCAAGAATGCTAGCTAGAAAGCTCCAGCTCTGGGTTCTCCCACAAACTCAGTAAACATCCCTCAGCAAGCCTTTTCTCAGTTTCATCTGGGGCTGGTCTGCTTGTGTGGCAGCAATTTTACCGCATTTTTAAAAAGGACATTCTCAACTGCGTAGATATATCTCATGTGATATTTTGGGGGGAAGCAGTACAAAGATGTCTGCCCTTGCCTTCTGGATGGTTTTTTATTTTTACTTCTAACTTAGCCAACAATCCTGGGATTTCCTGGCAGTCTCTCATCAATGTACTAGCCAGGTCTGATTAATTGGGGAGGAAGGGGATGCAGTGAGTCACTGTCGACCTGACACGACCCACGTCTGAAGCCTCACGCAGCCTTACAGTATTATTGAATATGTAAACTCTGCCTAATCAAATGTTCCATAAACATTATGGATGAATGTGATTCCCACTGAGATTTAATTTCCTGTGGTCAGCTGTCATTAAATGCTGTATTTGCAACTGAATTTTGAATGGTTTTCTTATAAAGAAAGCAGAAGTAATAGCTGTAGGTGACAGTCAGGATTTTAGGTTAATCTTCCTCAACACCCTTCATTCCATTAGCCAATATGGCTGGGAAGATTATCATTATTGTGCGTGTATTGCTCCATTGTGAAACATTCTGTTTTAAGTGTTAAAACATTAACTTAGGACTTTTAGTCCCAAGTGCTGCTGTTATCACTGGGACCATTTTGGCTTTTTCTTTCAACGTCCTCTCTAGTTCCTCCTTCAGGCCGTGGTACTTCTCCAGCTTCTCATCCTCCTCCTTCCTTATATTGTTGTCAGTTGGCACCACTACATCTATCACCACTACTGTCTTCTGGCCCTTGTCTACTGCCACAGTGTCTGGCCGGTTGGCCAGTCCCAGCCTGTCTGGCTGGATCTGGGAGTCCTACAAGACCCTAAACATTCTCCACGATACTCTGTGGGATCTTGATGTGAGGCTTAGGAGAGTCTAAGCCAGGGATGGGGAACCTTGGCTCTTTTAGGACTTGTGGACTTCAACTCCCAGAATTTCTGAGCCAGCGTGGCCTAAGCTCATACACTGTGCAGGTACCCGTGTCCTTGCTGCCACACCTTCCTCAAAAAGCATCACGGAGGATCATTCTCTCCTATTACACTTGGCAGCTATGGGGATTCTTTGAATGGTCAAGGCAGCATTGCATGCAGAAGTCCAGTCCTGCCCCTGTCATGGATGGCCTCAGACCAGTCTTGTGATAAACTGTGGTTGTCCTTCTGCCCAAGGGAGTAATTCCCCTCACCAAGGGGATCTGGCCCAAGAAGATGAGTCATATTGCAAACTGGGAAATTATTAGAATGTTGTCTTATGAGAAGATGAGCAATTCGCTTTGTAAAATAATTTTATTGTGTATGCTTTACAAGGGAACCCCCCCACAACACACACTTCATTCCATTTAGGCTGAGATGGAACAAAATTTCAATTAGTATGGTACAAAGGAGGAGCTGGTCAGCCCCCGAGCATTGGACAATGGTTATTAACATGAAATGAAGGCAGGACATGTGGGGTGTATGTGTGAGCATGGCTCTTTGTGCATAATAAGGCAGAGCTATGTGGCTAAGCAACGCGTTATGGGAGTGAATCTGCAGAAATCTGCATTAAGCCCAATAGTCCCCCCCCCTTCCTGCCTAGTCTAGAGAAAGGAAGGACTAGGACTGACATGATAGCAATATTCCAATATTTGAGGGGCTTCCACAAAGAATAGGGGTCATCTTATTTTCCAAAGCACCAGAAGGCAAGACAAGAAAGAAAGGATGGAAACTAATCAAGGAGAGAAACAATTAAGGAGAAACTTCCTGACAGAGAGAACAATTAACCAGTGGAAAGACTTGGCTTTAGAAGTTGTGGGTGCTTCATGGAGGTTTTTAAGAAGAGACTGGACAGTCACCTGTCTGAAATGGTATAAAATCTCCTGCTTGAGCAGGGGTTGGACTAGAAGACCTCCAAGGTCCCTTCCAGCTCTATTCTGATTGACATTGATTGACTGCCCAGCTCCTTTGGAATTCATAAACTTCATTGCCTTTTAAATGGATGGTGTTCAGTTTTGTTTATTCAATACTCAGCAAAAAAATCCTCTGGCCCATCAAGCTATTATGCTAATAATCCTGGCATTATAAGACTGCCCAATTAAATGTGTGGGACAGGCATCTTAAAAGAAGATTCATTTCAGAAGCTTACAAAGATGAGGGACATTTCACTTCCCCTCGCCCCATGCTTTGTAGCCTGCTAGGTCCAAATGTTCCACACCCAGCCATTGAGCATGTGACCTACATGTACAGATGCGCCTTAGCAAAAGCAGCTATTGTAGTTCCTTGCAGCAGTTGAGTTCATCTTGGCAGGGTCTTCTCGGGGTTGCCAGACTGTCAGACAGAAAAGCCTTAATCAGTCATTAATAGACACATAGAGATAAAGCACATTTACACCCCATTCAAAACAGACAGTGAAAAAGCTGAGAAAGAAACAGACAAGGTCACATCATCTCCAGCAACTAACTCCTAGATAAGTGGAGATTAACTCCAGACAAACAGAAGGATACTATAACTACCCAGGAGAAAACCAAACACCTACCAAAACTGGCAGGGTAAGTTACTGTATATAAATGGAGCAAACCCCACACTCCCTTGCACTGATGATGCTACTTAGTCAGGTAATGAAACATCTGCAAGAAAGCCACCAAGCTCAGAGAGCACCAACAGATTTAGAAACAGCCCTGGAAGGAATTCTCACCTGTGCTCCCCAACTTTCATTCGCAAGAGGGGTTTTTAGTTGCCCTTAAAAACAACAAAGTTCCTGTCTGATTCGTAGATCTTCACTTTGTAGAGGCAACCCGAGGGAAGGATTTTTTCCATGCTGTTCCAGATGTACATGGCTAAATTCTCCGTCGAGCTGTGGAGGGGCAGAAGGATGGAGGAGAAAAGGGAGGTCAGAAGCTATTCTGGAGAAGCACTTTTAATTGCTCGATGTCCCTCCTGTTGCTTTTGGCTACTGTTTGGCCACGGAGATCAGCTCCGTCATTCCCCAAGATGGCACCCCGTGGATGCCAGTGGGTGGCCACCACTCCGTTTCCTGAGCCAGCTCATCTTCTCCAGCTCCTACCTTGTAACGTTGGCAAAGTAATCCACGTCCTCGTCCAGGTTCTTGTGATCAAGAGGCTCAGTGATGGCCATCTGAGGACAGAAGCATAAACAGGTGACATTTTGTTTTCCCCAAGATGGAAATGTTCTGTATTCAAAGGCATTAGGCAGTGGTTCTCCACCTGTGGGTCGGGACCCCATTTGGGGTCGAACGACCATTTCACGGGGGTCGCCAAACAACGCAGTCCGCCATTTTTTTCCCCCTTTTCCTTAGCTGTGCTACTCCCTTTTATTCTATTGGCTTTTGAAAGCCAATAGAATTAGACTCTATTCAAGAGAGTCTATTCTATTGGCTTTCAAAAGCCAATAGGAATTGTCCAGGCTGTCTCTGCCCTGCTGAGCCCGCCAAAAGTCCCCTTCTGCAAACGGTGCTGCACCAGTTGAGTAGTCCTTGACTTATGACCGGTTGAGTAGTCCTCGACTTACGACCGGTTGGGGGGTCACGGCATTAAAAAGGTTGAGAACCACTGCATTAGGGACTGAAAAGAATACACGTGAGGTAAAAACAAATATATTAGGCTAGAACAGGTAGTCCTCAACCACAGTGGAGCCCAACATTTCTGTTAAATGGGTTTTGCCCCATTTTATGACCTTCCTTGCCGCAGGTGTTAACTTGAATCCCTGCAGGTGATAAGTTAGTAACCTGGTTTGTTCAGGTTACTGGCTCCCGCCTTGACTTTGCTTGTCAGAAGGTTGCTAAAGGGGATCACGTGACCTTGCGTCACTGACCGTCATAAATATGAACCAGTGGCCAAGCGTCTGAATTTTGTTCACCTGATTGAGGGGATGCTGCAAAAGTCGTAACTGTGAAAATTGGTCCTAAGTCACCTTTTTTAGTGCTGATGTAACTTTGAACGGTCACTAAATGAACTTTTGTAAGTTGAGGACTATCTGTAGATGGGGACAGGAGAAAAACAGAACCCCGGCTTTCGGATTCATGTTTTGTCCACTGATTTCCGAAAAGCCAACGTTTTTTTTAAAACATGTTTTTCCCGGGAAATGAAGTGGATGCTCCTGCACCCAGGTAAATCGGGCCCCCTCCCCTCCTTCCCCCCCCTTAGCAAACGCTTTCAACAGAAGCAGGCCGGCAGGTTTTATTCCAGCACAGAACCTTTTTAGGTAGTGTTTAAAGCACCAGGCAAGAGGGCGGACGATCATGAGTTCAAGCCCTGCCCCAGCCATGAAAGCCGGTTGTCTATCTTTGGGGCCAGTCCCTCTCTTTCAGCCCAATCTACCTCACAGGGTGGTTGTTGTGGGGAAAATAAATGTGAGACGCAAATAAAGTACCTCCATGTATTCATGTAGTTTGCAAATGTTCATGAGCATGCCGCTGATGGGATTGATCTGCAGGGGAAATTTTTTTCCTTTTAACAGACACAAAAAGATTTACGAGGAAACCGAAATGCACAACAGCCAACTCTACAGGAACCGCACCACATGCAGGAAGGGTAGCGTCTGTCAGAGGCTGCGAGCCGCCACACGGGGACTGCATCCCAGCCACGCAGCTGGCCCTGCCTTCCCCCTAGCTCCCTTTCCCAAAGACATTTTTTCACGAGGCAACGGGACTTTCTTGTCCAGTTGCCTCTTGAAAAAGCATCTTTGGGATAACGATGACCTGGATGACTGAGAATCTCCATAGATGTCTAATTCTCCTTCATTTTTATTCCCACTTTCCTTGTTCATCTTCAGCACGGTGGCGTCTATCAAGTCCTCGCTTATACGGGGGGGGGGTCCTTTCTCCCACTTGGAATAGCTTTTTTTTTTTCCTCTAAAGAAAAAGTAGAGGAACTGAACCTTCAGACACGCTTCCTCTGCTGTGATGGTGATCATGATGTAAGTGGGAAAAAATAAGGGGAATAACTAGTTGGCTAACAAAAACCACAGAAACGTTTGAGTTATTGCAAAAGGCTTCTCAGGTCCGGAGAAGACCAGTAAAAATAACGAGGGGGGCTGGAGGCTAAAACGTACGAAGAACGGTTACAGGAATTGCGTGTGTCTAGTCTAGTGAAAAGAAGACTGTTGCAGTATTTGAGAGGCTCCTACAAAAACGGGGTCAAACTATTTTTCAAAGCACCGAAACACAAGAAACAGTGCCTGGAAACTAACCAAGGAGAAAAACAACCTAGAACAGTGTTTCCCAAACTTGACAATTTTAAGGCATGAGGACTTCAACTCCCAGAATTCCACAGCCAGCAACGCTGGCTGTGGAATTCTGGGAGTTGAAGTCCACATGCCTTAAAATTGTCAAGTTTGGGAAACACTGACCTAAAAATAAGGAGAAATTTCCTTAACGGTCAGAGCAGTCAACGAATGGAATAGCTTGCCTTAAGAAGTGGTGGTTGCTCCATCACCTGAAGGCTTTCAAAAAGAGGCTGGACAACCATTTGTCTGAAATGCTTGAGCAAGGGCTTGGACTAGAAGACCTCCAAGATCCCTTCTAACTTTATTATTCTATGTTTTTTTCTATGCCACCCCAGGAGCATCCAGAAGAGAGGGCATGGCAGAATCCCCACAGGCTGCTGCCACGTACCCCTGGATGCCAGTTCTTAGAAAAATAATAATGAAAACTTGCTCGGTGCCCAGCAGGGGGGGGGGGGTGAGATTTCCGATGGCTAAAAAGCTGAAACTGGAAAAACTGAATTAAGTGATGGAAATTCTAATTTGAGACCTACAAAGAGGCCAGACTTGGAAAAAGGGCCGAACTAAAAGACACTGGAGCCAAACCGATGAAATGGAGCCTTGGCCAGCTGCTCCTCATTCTTAAGCCTTGCACTCCCGAAGTGTGGAGGAATATAAAAATGTTACTCACCTTCCCACGTATAGTGACCGTCACTGTGTGGCCGAGAAAGAAGAGAAAAGAAAGTACAGTTAAGTCATTAGCTGCAATCCTGCTTCTCTCCCTCAAGGTGGAAGCAAATGTTGAAGAAACAGGCGGTAGCAAGAGATTAACCAAGGAATGGCCACTTTTCCAAGCCCAACGGCCTGCTCCCCTTCCCCGCCAGGGAAACGGATCCAGGGATTCACGCCCCTTCCCCAAAGCCAAGCTGTCCTCTGCCCTGCTCCTCAACCACGCCCAGCACCTTGATAATTGTGTCCGTGGCTGTGATTGCATTTCCCAAAGGTGATCCTGTTTTCATCTTTGCTCAGATGTTTGCTGAAAGACAGTCGGGTGGAGGAGAAAAGAATAACCATGTTTCAGTAGAAAGAGAGAAGGAATTTTTGCAGGGAGAGATCTCATCCTAGCAGCTGATCCCAAAGCCAAGCCAGCATACCTTTAAGTACTGGAGATTGTCAGTTTCTGGAAATATAATTGGCTGAATTATCTGAAATTCCACCTTCTTCTGTCCACCCTGTCAGCCAATTATATTTCCAGAGAAATATATTTCCCACAGATGTGCTGTAGCCCTCATAGGGAGTGGAGGAGAAAGGCAAGGGGAAGCATGGGTGGTAAAACTCTTTAGCTTTTATGGGATGAACGTGACATGCGGACCTCTTCTCTGAAGTTTGGGAAGCAGATATTTAAACATAAATGGTATAGGATCTCCTGCCACGGGCAAAGGGTTGGACTAGAAGACCTTACTCTTTTATGTTCTAATTAGTTGGACATCCTTGCCCTTTGATACAAGGTTGGTTGAGGTTTGCCTTTCATCTCTGCAGTGGCTCTTCGCCCAGATCCAGCGTTGGCCAGTTCAGACTGTGGCTGAGCAACTAAGCCCAAAGTAGCCCTTCTACTAATCTTCTCAAGGTTCAGATTCCCACACCCTGTGTGGGTCTCTGGCAACCCTTACCTGTTCAGTTTGTGGGCGGCTGCAAAAGTTGTAGTGCGGGATAGGAAAATGGTCTTGTCCTCCATATTCCTTTCAGGAGCCCAGCTCATAGGAGAAGCTCTGCCCAGGGACTGGTTAAATAACCCCACCAGCCCTCATGTGACCAAGATCTGAATGCAAAAAGAATCGGTCTAAGGAGCGTGATGTCTCCTTATGCCTTCCTCGCATCCAGGAGTTAATTCAGCATATCTCCTTATCTCTGACCCCTAGGCGAGCTACAATTCTTATCTTAAATAAGGGTCATCTAAGGCAAGGTGAGTTTGGCTGAATTCCCCTTGGACACCAGGATTGGTTCAACGTGAAGCCTTTAAGATGCCCTACTTGGCTAAACTTTAGGCTGAAATGTTTGGAAAAGGAGACAGTGTTTGGGTTTCTGGATTAAGTCCAGGGCTTCCTTCTCAAATAGGATCACGCACGTTGGGGCTGTCGGAGTACTCTGAATGTGTTCTTGTGCACAGAGAAGACGTTTATTATGCTAGTAATACCCACAGATGAATATGAATGTTTAGATGTGACATTAGATGAATTTTTTTTATTATTCTTGACAGGTCTTCATTGCTTTGTATGGAGAGTTTATAAAATCAGCTTTACATTAGATCAGTATATCTGGATTTATTTTCTGTAGTGAGGAAAGGGTTAGGATATGCAAAATTCTTAATAGTGTTTGCAGTTTCCTAGGCAACAAGAACATTGGAAAACCAACTAAGTGTTCCTTTTCAAACTTGGAGGGAGGAAAACTACTCTTCAACATTTCTCACTCAGATGAATAGTTTGTCCATATCTCAGGCACCCAGTATCCGTAATCTCTCTGGAGAAAGCTTCATCTTGTGAAGAATGCCAGGTGCTACCAGCTGCAGGAAATGTATGGAGGAACTTAGTTAGTTCAAAGAGACTGCTCAATTAGATCTAAGCTAGTTTTGAGTTGGAAAAACCATTCTCCTTTAGTCTAAGGGTCTCCTGTGGTATTCTTAGCAAAATGGCCTAGAAGAAGTGACAGAGAGTATCCTTTAAATCTGAAAGCAATCAGTAGTGATAACAGTAGCACTTAGACTTATGTACCATTCCATAATGCTTTACAGCACTCTCTGAATGGTTTATAGAGTCAGCATATTGCTCCCAACAATTTTACCAATCTAGGAAGGATGGAAGGCTGACTCAACCTGGAGCCAGTCAGGATTGAACTCCTGGCAGTGGGCAGATTTAGCCTGCAATACTGCATTCCAACCATTGGGCCCACCATGGCTGGAAGAGAACTGGACCGGTCCTACCATTGTGCAGTTTCCTCAAGCAACAGATTGGGGACACCGAGGTGTTGGAGATGGAAATAATATACCTTGAAGTTTCAGTTCTGCCTATGGGGACAGGTTGAGAGTCCCTTAGGTTGTCTTCTCCGCAGGCATGGCAAAGTTCATTCTGTCTATGCTGAAGCTCTGGATCATTGTTGGAACATGTGGATAGTCTACAGCAGGCCTGTCAAACTCGCAATGTCACGTGATGTCGCGCGATGTATCACAACTTTTTCCCCATTGCCGCCAATAGGGTGGGTGCAGTTTCAGCGTGACGCATTTGGCCCGTGGCCTGGCAGTTTGATAGCCTGGTCTACAAAGTCAAGCACAGTCTTGGTAGTTCGTTTTCGAGACCTCCCCAAACAGTCTCCCAAATATTTCCTCCTCTTCCGTCTTCCTCCTCCTCTCAATGTGATGCCTATTTGGTATTCATGGTGCACAAGATGTTTTCAAGTCCCAGTCATGCACCCCTTCGTTCCCAGCCTTGTGACCAACCTGAAAGCACAGCCACATGCCAGCTGTTTTCTTTACAAAGAACAATCTCAGCCACCACTTCTGTTGAAAAAAGTAGGCTTGCTGCATCAAATGGGCATTTTAATGCTTATTGCATAATGATCACTTGGTGGAAAAATCAACTGTGTCATCAGAAAGGGGGAGGAAAAGCCCCCCCTTCCTTGAAATTCGTCTCCTTTAGATCAAGGTTGGCCTTGCAAAGATCTTTGGAGCCCTGGGAAAACACAAATCTCTCATCCAGAACAGTGGTTCTTAACCTTTTTTGAACGAATCGCCCCCTTGAGTCAATGAGGACGTTGTCATCGTCCCCTCCCCCAATATAACCTCTCAAACATAGGAAATAATTCTTCAATTTATGCAAACACATTTTTTGTTTTCTTTAAAATTGTCGTCAGGACATATGATGCAAATAATTTATTTCCAGTCTTTTTCCCATATCTCAACTGTGTGAAAAATTTTGGTGCCACCGTCACTTTATTCCCAAACTTCGTAATACATGTATTTCATTATTATCTTATTTATTCAAGACAGTTAAATGTAATGACCACTGAAAACAAAATTCAATTGCAAGAAAGTGAAATGCCCGAAAAGAACAACAGTAACATTTAATGATTGAATTACAAGTGAAATTTAAGATGCAAAAAGAAATATAAAAAGGGCATAAGAACAAACCGCAATGCAGGAACTAAGAATTTCAAGACAAAAACTCTGAAACTAAATTAAGATTCGAAGAAAGTACATATAGTCATGCACACTGTAAAAAGGATTAAAAAGACACAAAGAAAATATAATATCGAACTGGAGTTTACACTAAAAAGTACAATACAAAGAGACACAAAACAGCATGTGATGTTTCGAAAGAAGTGCTCCCCCCTCCATCACTGCCCATTCTGGCCAATGGCGCGCCACTGTATGGGTAGAGCAAGGGTAAGCAACCCAAAACACTCAAAGAGCCACTTGGACCCGTTTCCCACCGAAAACAAAACACCGGGAGCCGCAAAACCCTTTTGACATCTAAAATGAAGATAACACTGCATATATCCTTTTTTACCTTTATTATATATATATCTTCAGTGTTATCTTCATTTTAGATGTCAAAAGGGTCTCTCTCTCTCTCTCCCTCCCTCCCTCCTGCTCCCTCTTTCTGCCTTTGGTCTGCCAGTCCTCTTCTCCCACTCAGTGTGTGTGTGTGTGTGTGTGTGTGTGTGTGTGTGTATGAGAGAGAGAGGGGGGGAGGGAGAGGGAGAGAGAGGCGCTTGCTCTTCCTCTCTCTCTTTCCTCTCTCTCTTTTTCTCTTTCCCCTCTCCCTTTTTGTCTCTTTCCTCTCCCCCTTCTTTCTCCAGGTGAGGGGGGAGAGAGAGAGAGAGAGAGAGAGATTATGAATGGCAGAGGGCACCGAAGGGGCAAGGAGGGGGGGGCAGGAGGCAGCAGAAGACCCCCTGTTGCTGCTGGAGGCACCCAGCTCCACTGCCCGCCGGGCCTGCGGGGATGCCCCAGCTCACGGTCACATTGGCAGGCCGTCCCACATGCCGCTGGCGTCCCCAGGCTCAAGTCAGGGCCACGGGGCATCCGCGGAATGCCCCACTCATTGGCTGCATCGCCAAGCCTCCCCTAGCGCTGCCGGCATCCCCAGGCTTAAGTCGCAGGGCATCCGCGGAACGCCCCCCTGTCAGCTGAGTTGACAAACCTTTTCCTGCGCCGCCGGCATCCTCGGTTGGAACCGGGGCAACCATCCACCTCCCGCTGTTGTGCTGGAGGAGCTGGGGCCGCTCCGCACCGTGCGGCGCTCCCTGCGATCCGCAACCCACCAGCATCGCCCAGGGAGTGATGCCACTGCCGGTTCCCCCCCAGCCAGGACTGTCGTCCGGGGGGCAGCAGGAAGAAGAAAGGGAGGAGGGCAAGGAAGCCGGGCCCCAGGATCTGGCCAGGGCTCTTCTGCTGCTGGTTGGAAAATGCCTTCCCCCTCCCTTTCCCTCCCCCTCATCTTCTGCTCAGCTCACATTCTTCGCTGACAAAGCAGACAGGACTCCAGCGCGCCTTCCCGGCCAGCTGGGCCAACAGTCCCGCGGCTGGGGATTCCAGGGGCTGCTCTCCCTCGGGATTGCGGCTTATGGGAAGGCTGGCCTGCTCATCTGAGGCTCTGGCGGGCTGTTACCAGCGGGGATCCCGGGGCTTCCCCACGCGGTTCCCCGGCCACATGCACCTTGGACGGGGCCAGCCAGGGAAAGGGACTTCCTGGCCGCGCTTTTCCCAGGGGGCGGGGCACCTGGGCGCAGGGTCAGTCAGGAGCCCTGCGAGAGGGCAAATCCGCATGAGAGAGAGAGAAAGAGAGAGAAGCACAAGTGTCTGTCTCTCTCTGCAAATGGCGGAGGAGGCTTGGAGCCACGGGAAGGCTCAAAGGTGTCCCCAAAACCTCTTGCTCCATCGCCCCCATATTGCCCCCTTTTCCTTCCTTCGCCCCTGCGTCGCCCCTTTTCGTTCCATGGCACCCCTGAAAAATGAAATTGCCCCCTGGGGGGGCGGTATCACCCAGGTTAAGAACCACTGATCCAGAACACCTTTGGTTCGACAGGAGTGATAAGCCCCCATGCCCACAAGGGACAAACGGATGGAAAAGCTGAAGGAATCAGCGGAGGGCCAAGTGAATTGAAAAGGACATGTCCAGCTTTGTATCTGCGTGGGATCTCCTTCTGGACTTCATGCTGGGGACAAAAAAAAATGCAATTATGACTTTGGGATTTGCTGATTAGATTGTTGTTACAGGGATGGCTAGTAGTCTATAGCAGGGCTTTCAACCTTTTCACCCATTGTACCACTTAGGATATGGCAACATCCGAATGCCACCAGTCGCCTAGCAAGGTGTCAAAAACTTGATGACCCCCCCCAAAAAAGGAAAAAAGTGATAAAATACAGGTAGTCCTCGACTTACAACAGTTCGAAGTTACAATGGCACTGAAAAAAGTGCCCCCAAGCCACAGCCGAGCAAGACACCTGCCTGCCCGCCTGGCCACGCTCGTCCTCCTGTCTGAGGTTTTCATTGTTGTGAGCATTTCTGTTGAGGATTGGCAGCGGAAGTGGGGTGGGGGTGTTTGGTTTTTATTCCCCCCATCTGCTGGGTGGTTGCAGCAGGTTTTGGTCACTTCACATGACCCTGGGACACTGTGACCATCATAAATATGAATCAGTTGCCAAGCATCTGAATGTAAATCACAAGAACGTGGAGATGCTGCAACATTTCAGCTGATCGGTGCTTCTTCTGGGCTCAGCAGTAGCGCCAGGATCAGTGCTGCTTTCCAGCTGATTGGCGCTTCTTCAGGGCTCAGCAGAAGTACCAGGATCAGTGCCGGGCTACAGCTGGAGCCTGGCACTGATCCTGGTGCTTCCGCTGAGCCCTGACAGCCCTGCAGCTTCAGCCATCTCTTGCTCAGGCTTGTGTGGTGGCTGCCACCGGTTCAGCTTATTCCCCTTCCCCACTACCACTTTTCTAGGATGGTCACGTACCACTTGCCAGGTGCCAATGTACCACAGGTGGTACCCGTACCACTGGTTGAAAAGCTCTGGTCTATAGTAAGTATGCGAAAGTAAACAGTCAAGGTGATAATCTGACTACTTTTATTCTATTGCACTGAAAAGAGTTGGAAGTTAATGCTTTCTTTTCTCCTCCCCCCCCCTCCCCCCACACTTCTTTCCCTGTATTTCCTGCCCTGTTTCCCTATATTTTCATTTTATTTCATAAATATATATTCATATATATAAAGTCCAATGCTGTTTCAGAATACTTGGGTGACTTATGAGAACAGTGATCATCAGCCATTCTGGTGTGGTAGGGCTGCCTGGTCCTGCTAAGCGATATGCCAACGAGAGGGCTCACTGCTCAGAACAGGCTCTCCTTTGGGGCAGGACTGAAATATGAGTTGATGGGTGGGCTTTGGGGGACACATCAAATCCAGCCTGGGAACCACCCCACAGCCTGGAGCATTTTAGGAGAAGGAAGCAAAATTGTGACCAGCCTTTTGGTCCCATCACCTCCCTGTTTTCTGTCTGGGTTGCAAGCCGGGAGCAGGTGGCTCTTGAACCTTTCAGGGAAGACCTCTTTGGGCTCGAAGGTGCCCCTGGAGGCCCATCAAGACCAGCACGCTCACAACAACATGTTGATCTTTTGTGTGGTCATCAGCTGGGGAGTTCCTCACCACGTAGCAGTTTCTATTTTTTCCATCTCAGCCAGTTTTACCAGGAGAGGAATTCATAATGCTAACAATGATAACCCTCGTCAACATCATCAACTGGAGGATTAGAATTTGAGAAGAGTTCCTGGTGGGAGATGACCGATTTAAGCTTGCCGGGGAGCTCACCTTCACCTCTCCTTTCTCCGCAAAGAAAAAAGGTCTTTAGAAAGTAGCCAAAGGAGACTGGGAAATAAAGGATGCAGACATGGTTGCATTTTTAAAGAACATGTTGTACCAAGGAAGCTAGATATTAAAACAAGCAGGGTCTAGAACTGGGAAGGGCGGTCTGTAGAATAATTGGGAATAATGATTCTGCAAATGGCCAGGATCCGATGACTGGTTCTTCTTTGGCCAGAGAAGCAATAACCCCTGATCTGTTCCAGGGACTTTGCAGAAGAATTTCATTTGGGTTGTTTTTTTTTTCCCTGCCCTTGTTACAATCTTGAACTTTATTTATTAATCACATTTATATGGCTGCCCGTCACAGAAATTGATTCAGAATACAAGAAATGTCATGAGTACTGGTAAGATTTAGGCAGCCAAGGATATGGTGGATTGTGGAGTATTGGACAGCAGGATGGTTAAAAACCTCTTTTTAAAATCTCCGCTCTCTCAAATGCAATGAAGCATTTTGGTTGCCCTTCATAAGTTCTTACTCAGCTGTGGGTATTCAGCTTTTGTTTTTTTTTTTAAAAAAGTCCTATAGGTGAATGCTTCGGGGCTTTTGAATTCTCATTTTTAATTTTAAGTGTTTCTGTTTTGTTTTAATTTACTACAAAACTTCCTAGCTGGGAACACAATAACTTTCCATCCCTGTTTCAAGTTGGTCCTAATCGGGCCTCCAAAATCTGCCTATAAAAATCCCCCCCAGTAGAAACACTGGGTGGGGTGGAACACGGACATCCAGGCGTCATCCAAAGACCCTCCCCATGTAGACACCAGATAAAAAATAGAAAGGCGGATGGAGAGTTCTGTCTTGCCTACCTAGGAAAGTCAAATGCTTGGAAAAGCAGAAGAACCCGCTGTGCTAATGGAGAAAGAAGGACCTGCTGGGCAACCGCACCGGTCCCACGCCAAGTCCTGGAGAAACCCCTGGATGAAGATCTCCCAACCATCAGAGACAACAGTCCCCCCTCAATTCCAAGTTAAAGTTAAAGCTGAAGGCACCTTTTGCCCAAATACTTGGAAACAGGACCTAAAACCCCATTGATTAAAGACTATATAGTGTTTACAGTCATTTCGTGAATGCACACCCAGAATATAAACAATCAGGTGAAACCTACTAGACTTTTGAGCTTGATTGAAGGCCGAATCCCCATTTCTAAACCCTGCTTCTTTTTCCCAGCTAGGGAGTGTGTTGTAAACCAGCTGAATCCAGTGATGTGTGTTTCTTGGGTTAGGAGTGATTGCTGGTGGGTGGATGGGAGAGAGAGAGAGAGAAAGAAAGAAAAAAAAAAGAGAGAGAGATCTTCATGATGGGAGAGTGAGCAGTGGAGGGAGGATGCCTTTGAAGCAGCAATTGAGCAATGCAAGAGAGGGAATTGAGCAAGGAGGAGAAACAGTAAAGGAGGAGGATTGGCAGCTGGCAATCCCCAGGATCTAGTCAGTCTAGGGGCGCTGTGTGTGTTGGTGTTGACCTAGATTTTGCAATACGGCTTAGCTGTTTACCTTTCTGTTCACACTCCCTGTTGTGAGAAAGAGGCTGAATCTCTGGAGGGAAATTCGTTCATTCATTTACTCCTTTTGGCTCAAGGGGGTGGGGATCTTCACCCACCCACGCCTGAAATCGAGCAGTTTCCTGTGGTTTAGAAAGCAGCAATGAACCCCCTCCCCATTTCCATCTGGCAGCAGTGAATTTTATATTAGCACAAACCGGCAGTGGTGGAGATGAGCCTTGCTTCAATCCACACCCTGCAGATTGGGGGGGCATCGCTGCTGAGCCTGCACAACCCCTGCCTCCATAAGGTTTTGAAGGAGGCATCTCTGCAGAACTACAAGGAGTAGTTGAAAAAAAAAAAAAAAGCTGGGTGAATCCCTGTGTATCTTGACATGTTGACAGGTCCCATATTGAGCTGACTTTGGAGACAGGAAAGGATGGAGGGAATCAGTACAGGGAGAATTCGAATATAGAACATAGAATAACAGAGTCGGAAGGGACCTTGGAGATCATCTAGTCCAACCTCCTGTTCAGGCAGGAAATCCTATACCATTTCAGACAAATGCTTGTCCAATCTCTTAAAAACCTCCAGTGATGGAGCACCCACAATTTCTGAAGGCAAGCAGTTCCACTGATTCATTGTTCTCACTGTCAGGAAATTTCTCCTTAGTTCCAGGTTGCTTCTCTCCTTGATTAGGCTCCATCCGTTGCTTCTTGTCCTGCCTTCTGGTGCTTTGGAGAATAGGGTGATTCTACTACCTTCTTTTTGGCAGTCCCTGAGATATCGGAACACTGCTATCATGTCAACCTTAGTCCTTCTTTTCACTAGACTAGAGTAGACAAACCCAATTTTTGCAACTCTTCTTTGTATGTTTTAGCCTCCAGCCCCTAATCATTTTTGTTGCTCTTCTCTGCACTTTTTCTAGAGTCTCAACATCTTTTTTATATTGAGGTGACCAAAATTGGGACAAGAGTTCACAAACTTGAGATGCGGGAGAAAGAAACTCCTCATAACCCCGCCTCGATTCGGTTATATATAAATGAGGCCAAGAGAAACTTGGCTAGGTGTTCAAAACCCTGTTATTCTTCCTTGCCCCAATATAGAATAGATTCCTGAATCCTTGCTCTGCCAGTTCCTTGGCCTTCCCTGGTTTGAAGGGATGGCCTAATCTCGGTAGTCTGTTGAAGTTTCTCTCTGCGTCACCTACGACTAAATGAAATCAAGGCGGGGTTATTTTGACTTTCTTTCCCCTTTCTTAGCACTTATGACTTACTTCTTCCTTGCCCACGTTGCTTCATCCCGAAACTCTTCTAGAAATTATTCTGCTCAAAAACTGTAATTGCTCACTTTGTTGGAACTTTGAGTTGCAAACATACCATCTCTGATTTTGGTCTGTGAGCAGAAAGCCAGTGGTGGGGACACACAATAGAACCACAACTAATGTGGATGCAGCTTAAACTCAGTTTGTGTTCATCAGCACCTTCTCTTACTTGGGTAAACCAATGGGAGCTTACTTTCCATCTTCTCCTTAAGAGAAAACAAATCAATAAGTCAATTCCCTTAAAGGGACGGTGTGTTCAAAAACTAATTGGTTGGTGTTAACCTTGCTTGTTGTCATTTTTTTTTTTGTCATTAAGCATGCAGTTCATTTGTGGGCCAACTAAGAATTTGAGTTAATTCTGGAGGAGGATCCAGCGTGTTGTGCAAATGCAGCCATGCTTAAGGCAGAAAAACGGATGTGCCTTCTCCCACAGACTCCACCACATTGAGAAGATCTCCATCCATGCTGATGGCCTCATCATCTCCCCTCCCCAAATTGTGCTCCAAAGGAAGTTGCTGGAATTGCATCCCCTTGACGTCAAACAAGCAGCCACCCCTTCTTTTACAAGAGCTCTGGGTCTGCCCACCCTTTGGTGGATCATTGCTTGAGCTGATGCACCCAGACTCAGATGGTTTGGTTCATGAAGACTGGTTGGTAATGTTTCTTTCCAGAATGGGGGGGGGTGTTCCGCTTTGCGTTTGGCAAGATCTGGATTGGCAGCATATTTTGAAGGACGAGGGGGCAGAGGCTCACCCCACTACAGGAGTCTGGAAGGGCCAGTCTTGATTCACCCGCCACTCACCAACCGTGGACCCACCTGGAGAAGCCATCTCTGAGTCATCTGGCAACCCTTCCAGGTTCTTGTTCTCTCTACCCTTTAGGCACTCTTTGTCGTCTAAGATACACAAGCCCCCTGGCTAACTGGATTCGGTGCCTCTAGTTGTGTGCCCCAAGCCGAGAACTCAGCCCTCTTATGGCTTTCCATAATTCATGCCTGAATGTTATAAATAGAAAAGGAAGGATTTAAACATTTATGTCTTGCTTTCTGGGAAAAAGTCACATTCATGAGAGCTCACACGGGGAAATATAAATCGGGGAAAAAAGAGAAGAACTGCGAAGGAAAGGAGCAGCATTAACGCTAACGCAGTATCCTAAAACTGCATCATGAAAAAAAGGGCAAGCTGGTGCAAACCTCACCACGGATGTCCTTTGCAGGGCTTTGGGACCACGCGTTTCTTCTGTGGTTAGTGTCAGTTTCATCGCGACTTTGAAAAGTGGGTTCTTCAATTCTAGCGCCTGCAGATATTTATCCAGCAAAGTGCCAACGACAAAACATGGCAAGAAAAACAGGCATGCTCCTGTTTTGTTATCTTGGCAGCTGCACATTTGGGTTCTTCATGCCTGGGTGCTTGAAAAAGCCACCATTGTTGATGTTCAGTTCGCTGGCGGGTGACTAATTGGAGCCAGCTGACTACAACGAAGGCCTCCCAAATTAAACACGGGTGCTTCAGACAAAATGAAATGATATTATGGGCAAGTCAGGCTGCTGCTGTTTTGGGCAGGGATCTTTCAGTGGAAGGGGTAAATTTGGCTCCCTCAGTGAGATGCGTCTGACTTGCTTTTCACCCAGAGACAGGCAATTTAGAACAAAACAGCCTGGCCCAATCAGGAGTCTTTCTGGCATGTTGAAAGGCATTTCCCAGAATTCCCCAGCCAGCACGGCCAAAGGGAGTTGAAGGATAATGGGAAATAAGCTCTAGCACAGTGTTTTTCAGACTTGGCCACTCTAAAGTTATGTGGATTTCAACTCCCAGAATTCCCCAGCCAGCCATATTGGCTGGGGAACTCTGAGAGTTGAGGTCCATGTCTTAAAATGGCCAAGATTGAGAAACTTAGTGGCAGCTTCTGGGGTGAAATCCTACAGCCCCTCTGGCATCCATTGAAAAATGTTATATATGAAAATTAGAAGCCAGCCATCAACCATCTCCTCTAAACTCTACCTTTGCTGTTTCCAAATGTATTTTTCAGCCTATTTACAAACCTTATCAATGTTTTGCAGAGTGGACCTTCGACAATTGTCAGAAAAGAACAAAGACAAATCTCAGCCAGTGAACAATTTCAAAATTAGACTAGGAGCAAAAAAAAAAAGAAAACGCTTCTCATTTCATTCAAAGACTCTTAGAGTCTTGGAGTCTTTGTTTACTTAAAGTTTTATTAAAAGTTTTAAAAATTTGATTGGACAAATGTGTGGGTGAGGTGATTGACTGTTTGTGGGAAGGGGCTATTGTTAGGCTTTGTGGCAGGAGATGGTCAAAAATGGGACATTAGAGTCCCTTAGTTTGGAAAGAGGCTTTGGAATCACTTAAAGAGTAACTTCAGTGTGCAATCAAGGACATCAGGTGCCACAAAGAAGTGGCTTGTCGTTTGCAAAAGCTGGGGACTTCTAACAGTGGCCAACTTTGAGAAGCCCTAATCTAAAGCATGCGGGTTTGAATGCTGGTGCTGTCCAAATCAAGGCAATTGCTTCAAAGAAAACAATGCACAGGATGGGAGAATTAGGGGTCCTCGGTGCTGTCTGAGCTTGGTGGTTTTGTTGCAGATGTTTCACTATCCAACTAGGTAACATCATCAGTCCTAGAAGGGGGGAGGATTTGCACTAAGTTTATATTCTAGTGCAGGGGTAGGCAACATTGGCTCTTTTATGACTCGTGGACTTCAAGTCCCAGCTATGCTGACTCAGGAATTCTGGGAGTTGAAGTCCACGAGTCATAAAAGAGCCAAGGTTGCCTTCCCCTGTTCTAGTGGTTTGTCCTGTCACTCATGGCTGGGTGGTCTTAGAGGTTATTTGGTCTGGCTGTTTACTGTTGACTTGTTTGGCAGTTTCTTGATTGGGGAATTGGTTACTTGATTGTTGGTCTGATATTAATCTTGGAGTTAATCTTTGTTCATCTGGGTGTTGATTGCTGGTGAACAGATGCCTCGGTCTTTTTGTTCACTTTTTGGCTTGTTGAGTGTCTCTTTTGCATAGTATATAGATATTGTTTATGTTTACATGTCTATGGATGGCTAGGCTTCTAGAAATTCCCCAGCATTTTTTGACTTGGCTTTGTCTAGGATGGTCCCAGTTTCTCATAGTTGAAACTATGATTAAGTCTGTCCATAGGTTGTGAAATTAAAGTGTTTTCATCATCATGTCTCCTGACTGCTAGTTGATGTTCATGGATGCGTTCTACTAGTTTTCTGCCTGTTGTTCTACGTAGTGGCTGTTGCAGTCATTACACTGTGTATTGTAGGGACATAGAGTGGGAGAATTAAAATGAACTATACTGGGGTTCACTTACAGAAGCAGAAAAGCCCCTTTGTGTTCTGGAGCAGAACCAGGGGCTTCCTGTTCATTGATGGGCTGCTGAAATGAAAGCAAGGGCATTTGGGGTTAATTTGCATCCAACAAGTCCTTGCTGCATGGAAGCCTTCATTAAAATGGATCCTGTGTTCTGCCAGGCAATAAAATGCAGTTGTTATTCAGCAAGATTAGATGCATGTCAACATTGAGTGGGTGGGCCAGGCTGGGTATTCTGGCTGAAACTGGCTTGCAGAGTCATTAGCAAAAAAGCAGGGAGCAGCCTCAGGGGGAGAGAAGCCATTGAAAGTCATTTTTGTGCATTTGAATGGAGGCATGACTCAAAGGGGGTGGTGGGGGGGGGGAAGGGAAAATCTGTTAATTCTGATTTTTTTTCCCCATGACCTTGAGAAATTTACAACGTGGGTGAAACCAGACTTTTCTAACCAACTGGTTTGGTCGGACTTTTGGAACCAGGGTTCTCCAGGTGTGCATGTTTGGGTTACAATTTTCCTAAATCAGAGAATGGCTCATTAGAACTGTAGGCCAACACAGTTGGAGATCTTCAGGTTGGAACAAGGCCTAGGCCAGTGTTTTCCAACCTTGGCCATTGTAAACTGTGTGGATTTCAATTCCCAGAATTCCCCAACCAGCCATGCTGGCTGGCGAATTCTGGGAATTAAAATCCACACATCTTAGAGTTGCAAGGTTGAGAAACACTGCCCTGCATTGTGGATGAGATGAGAACTTAAACTTAGAAGGACCCAATGCTCAGCTAGAGAAGGCCCCAAGTTCTGGCTAACCATCTGTCTCCTTTTCTGGCTGGGGAATTCTGGGAATTGAAGTCCACCCATCTTCAAGTTGGCACAGCTGAGAAACACTGGCTTTGAGACTGAAGGTGGTCATACCATCACTTCCACCACCACCCCCCAGACACCACAGTTGCACCGGATCCTATGAATATATTTTATTGGCTATTGAAAGCACAATGGAGTTTCAAAATACGTTTCCCAAAGATACAGTATGTACAGAAAAAAAAAATCAGTAACACACAGAGAACTTTTAGAAGTCCAACATCTCCCTACTAAAAATTGGGACTCTGAGCTTCCAAAATCCTTCTTCTCTGCTGTTTCTTCTTACTGCCTCCAAATTTAATTTTTCTCAAGACAGTTAGTTCTTCAGACACATAGTAGTAATAGTAGCAGCAGCAGCTCCCAAGTTATTTTTGGAGAAACGGAAAGACTTTTTTTTCTTTTTAACACAGGAGAATGCCTTACCAGCAGGGGATTTAAATAGCAGAAAGTGTAAAAAAAAAAAAAGGGGGGGGGGGAAATCTTTCCAGTCTCGCAATTGTGAACGCTCTGCAGTCCAGACGGTTGCTCGGACCAAAGATGAAAAGAGGCAATTTAGCTTGAGAAGTTTTCAAATCTGTATTTCGGTTGGCAGTCATGCACAGCCATTCTGGAGAAGCTTTTGGGTGGTTGTGTGGTCAGATTGGCCTGTTATGAAATGCTTTGGTCAGCAGCTTTGCAGCACTTTGGGAGAACAATGTCAGTTCCAGTTTGTGACAGTGATTTCACCCATTTAATCTGATTACCCGGGCTTCGGTGCCCTCGTGTGGCCCCCACATCAAACCTTGGAATTCTTCTTGCTGTGGAAAATGGAAACACTCTTTGCAAGAGGAAGCTCTGGGGGGGGGTCTACTTTTTAAGGAGTATTTTTGCCTAGATGGTAGTAATATCCATTTGAAATAACAGTCTTACTGTTAGGTAAATTGACAATCTGCCTCAGGCAGCTGAATTGGGGCAGCAATTGGTTGACCTTTTAGTTTATTGCTATGTCTTGAAGTCATAGAGAGGACAAACCCAACTGAGGCCGGATTGCTCCCCTGATTACTATACTGTAGGACAATTTCTCTTTGGATTGAGGCAAGACAGATGCTGAAACGGTTCTGGAATCAGCTGCTGAGTTCAAGAAGGATGCAGAAAAGAGAGATTGGGAGGAGGACAGGGAAGGAAGGGGATTTTGCAGGAGAGACATTTGGTTCCCAAGAAAACCAGTCCATTAGTTCTCAAATTCTGGTTGTAGGCAAAAACGGAAGAGTGCTCCTAATACCTGGGGCAGAGCTTAGGCTAGGAGCTTGTATCCCAGAGAGACGGAAAGAAGCTGCAGGATGGCGAGAAGGAGCGAGCTGGCTTGGGTCCCAGAGACTGAACTGTGTGGACCTTTGGTGGATTGGTGGGGAGATGCCAGATTATGGTGGAATGCAGTGGCGTTGAGGTGGCGGTGACCATCGGAAGGGTTGCTCAGGAGAGTTGGCTTGCGGGTGCTGCTGGTTGGCCGGGAGACGGAGGAGGACATTGAGCTGACCACCTCTGGAAGGAGAAATGGAAGCATGATTAGCTGAGTCCTTTTGCCGATGGAGAAATGGGGAGGCCTATGGTAGTTCCTGTGATGCCAACCCAAACATCTTTAGAAACCTCACAAGGAATGGCAGGTTGAGGTGGGATGGAAGCTCTACCTGGTTTTTAAGTGCTCTGGAGCTTCAATTGCACAATTACTCCTGCCACCTTGACTGTTTTGATGGTCCCCTAAAAATGCACCTGTCTCACCAAGCTTTCTTGGGGAAGGACAGCCACACAGCACAAATTTTGTGTACTCTCCTGATCTCTCTAGAGTTTGAGGCAGAATGCGACTCACAGCTGGTGTCCTGGTTGGCTTGCTTCCATTGAATTTCATTCTAGATTGGCTCAGTGCTTTGAATTGCCCCAAAACCAAACCATCATTGCAAATATCCCCGTTTTTCCCAGGAACCTGCTAAAATTACCTTTTGCCAGGGTCCTGCTCTGCATCAGGGTGGTTCCATTGGCAAAGGTGACAAAGGCTCTGTTTGGAAAGAGACAAGCAGAAAAGGACATGATTAAGGAAAGGAGAGAAGCTGGATCCATAGAAAGTCAATCCTTATTCCTTTTTGCAGAGAATTTAAGCAAGCAAGAAGCCCTGTTTAATTTCAATTTCAAATCTGTGCTTCCAATAATGGTGCCAGAATGTGGCAAAATGGTTTAGGAGAGCAAGTTTGATCCTAATCAATGTTTGGTTATTTGTAGGATTCATACAAGACGTTTCCTGGTGATCAGAGCCACTGCATAGAGATGCTGATAGATCATGAGAAAAATGAAATAATTCCATAGCTGGCAGGTGGTATAAGCTGGTCTTGGATGGATGAGTGGGTGGGTGGATGGAAGGAAGGAGAGATATAGGAAGGAAGGAAGGAAGGAAGGAAGGAAGGAAGGAAGGAAGGAAGGAAGGAAGGAAGGAAGGAAGGAAGGAAGGGTTCACCATCCCTACTAGGGATCTGGATGGAAAACGCCAAGTAGATTATTTGAGATGCTGAATGACCAGAATGGCCAGCCCTGTGAAGCTTTGAAGAAAACTCTGAAGAGTCTGAAGTGTCTGTCTTCAGTTTCTGCTCTTGTAAGATATACTTCCCTGCTATATGGAAGTTTTATTACTTAGCAATTGGGGATGAAAAATCGGTCTTCATGTTTAACGTTGACCCTTGGGCCTGCCATCTTTCAGTCTTAAGTTTCCTCACAGGATTATGGCACAGATAAAAATAATAATAATTCTCTCTCTCTCTCTCTTTCTCTCTCTCTCTGTGTGTGTGTGTGTGTGTGTGCCTGTATTTGTGTGAATCCCGACTCTTTTAAAGGCAGAGCTGCTGAACAGTTGAAGCCTACGTTGCCAGCTCCCTGGAGGGATTCCTTTCCTCGCCATCCATCTGGGGGATCTCACCTTATTTCTGCTGACCCGACGTTGGGATTGCTTGAGGAAATCCAGCGTACCCGGACGCCGGACCCCGAGACGTTTTTCTGCAGGACGCTCTGGGAGGCACTGCAGCGGACCAGTAAGTTTTCCTCTTCCCACAGCCCCCCATCGCTGTTCTCTGGAGCCACAATTTGTAAGATCACCGAAGAGGCTTTCTCTGCCCCAGTAATGGACACTGCCAAGGAAAGGGGAAACAGAAGGAATTTTTATTTGGGAGGAGAAGCAAAGGCACCTTGGGGGGGGGGGAGAGGAGGCTGAGATGCTGGAGGAAAATTCCAGGCCTCTAAAAAATCCAACTTGGGCTTGGATTTCCAGCATTCCTGTCTGCGGGCTGACTCACCAGGTGGGGCCCATCGCAGTTGCGTTTCGACTGAATGCGGCTGGCATTAAAGAGCGAGTTGCGAAATGGGGAAAACACCCATGTGAACCCAGAACAGGCGGCATGTTTTGTAGCCGGCCTCAGTGTTCAGTTCTGCAATAGGGGTATAAGCCAGCCAACCTGCCTCGATGATTTGGAAACCTTCCTCCTGTTATTATCCCAATCTTACCGCTCTCTTCTGAAGGAGAAAGACGCTTTGGAGTTGATATAACACAGAATTGGCCTCTCCAATGATTAAAAAAAATTTGCCAAGGAAAACCTAGAGACTTTGCTAGGCCAGCTGCTGTTCTTCTTTACCTCCAGAAACCTGCAATGTCGGTCACCTGTAATTTCTCCATTTTCAAATAGCATTGCTGGAGAGCCATTGCTAAGAGTGATCCTCTCCTATTCCCCATTTAATGTTCCTGACAGTTGGAACAACTAACCAGGGGAGCAGCTGGCCTCCAGAAATTGTGGGTGCTCCATCACTGGCAGCTTTTAAGAAAAGATTGGACAGCCGTTTGTCTGGAATGGTATAGAGGGTCTCCTGCTTGAGCAGGGGGTTGGGCTAGAAGACCTCCAAGGTCCCCTCCAACTCTATTATTCTATTAATGGCAATGCCTCCGGGAAGACACCTTGCGATTTCCTTCCCCTCTGTTGTCAAGTCACTGTATGCCTCAAACTCCACTTGGGGCACCCTAAATTCTGGAAAGATTCTTTTTTAAAAAAATCAGAACGATTCTTCTATTCATTCTCTGGGCAGTTGCTGGAATCAGAAGGTAAATATTAACACAGAGAGCTGAAATGTGGCGCACCAGAGAACAAAGCAAGACAGGTAGAGCAGCCTCCAGGTGAGTCGTGAATACACACATACCTGTATAGATGTCATTAGGGGAATAAGCGCCAGGCTCCACGTCCAGCCGGAAGGAGCCTCGTGGCACCGTCTTCCTGACCACCTCACAAGGGGGCTGTTGGAAGTAAGCTGGCGAAACCAGCAGGGCCCCCAGGAAGAAGAGTGGCATGGTGAGCTTGAGCCAAGTCATCTTCCAGGTCTTCTCCTTCCTTTTCCTCTGGCCTTCTCTGCTCCTCTGGGATTCCCCTGGTCTGCCCTGGAGTTTTTTGGCAGGCGGGTCACCAGCCAAGCTCTTATATGCTCTGGAGGTTGCACATTCCTTTCCATTCACACCCTCCCCGGTGGGAGGTTTCAGATGGTGACACATTGGGGTGCTCTTCCTGCTGGGCTGCCGCTGAACGAAACTCACATGACCTCTGAGAGTGTGGGACCCGGGGGGGGGGGGAGGCAGGTGATGACGACTGAGATAGCCTTCCAGGCGTGGTCTTTCTTTGGAGAGGAGAAGAGCAGCTATCTCTCTTATCCTCCAAGCAACTCGGCTGGCTTTCTCCAAGAGTTTCTGTTTTGGTTTCTGTATCAGGGTCTCCATCTTCAGAGTGGAAAGATCTATAGATGGATCAGGATTCCAGCCCTTTGTTGCCTCTCTCCAGGAAAGTGGTGGATATTCGCCAAGGAACATAGCCAGAGAGTGTTCAGAGAGGAGATCCTGGCAGCCAAAAATCTGGAGGAATTCCGTAGAAGCAACTTCCCCCCCCCCCAATGTACACATTTTATGGAAAGGCAACCCTCCCTCCCCTTGCCAGGTACAGGCAAAGTTCACTGCCTTGGGGGCTTCTAGTCTCGCCCCTCCCTTAAGCGAAATGCAAGCAGCATTTCTTAAGGTAGAGATTCTATCATTCAGAAGGGTTCCCTTTGGGCATGCTAAACACACAAATACCCATCATTATTAGGGGAAGAAAGAAAATAGACTCATGCATGATAAGGAACCCTAAAGCCTCAAATTCCTTGAATCAGGCAATTCCAATAAAATAATCTCCTTCTGGGTTAAAAGCCAACTAGACAATGGGCAAATGTGTCATTGTGCAAGAAGTTATTTGCACAGCAAATTCGGTTTGCAGCATTCGGCCTTCGGGACAGGGACGATTCATGTCTCCTTTCATGCATGGGGGATTCATCTGCTTTCTGGGCCAGTTGCTCTCCATCAAGTCCAACATGGGTGTTGTCCAAAAAGTCTAGGTATCACAATGCAGAAGATTGGACCGGTCCAAGATGCTGTAACACAGCCAAGTTGGTTGGACCAGGCTGATTTTCAAATATTGGGGTGCCTTTTGGAACTAATTTTAGCCAGTGATTGGAAATGCTGCATGGAGTTTTGTTGAAAAGAGAAATAAATAGCCTGGGATTTATGGTCTGATGGTTAGGATAGCAGAAGAAGGGATGAGAGAGAGAGAGAGAGATATGCATTTATAACTGTCGTAAAGAAAATTGAACCTCCCTCTCTCCCTCCCTCCTGTCTGTCTGTCTTTTCTTTCTCATTTTTTTCATTTTCATTTTGTTTCTAATCTGTAAAAAACTTCTTTAACAATTTTTTTAAAGGAAACAATCTTAGTCCATCATTGATACTTTGGTACATTGTCTGGGAGTGAATCTATCTGTGGCATTTGCAAGCAGTTGCCTAGAGGTAAAGGACTGTCTTTTTGAAAAAAGAAATCTTACTTCAATCCAAGCTTAAATGTAAAGAGATATTGCCAGAGGCTTTCAGGAGCGTGTAAAGCCTCGGGGCATTTTCCAAAATTAAAACAGCATCTCTGTGTTCATACAAACATTCAGTTCCTTTTTCCTGCCCCAAATCTCATAAAATTTGCAAGCACAAGACTCCTTTTAAGACTGCATCAAGAGGGAGGGTCTTTCTTGACCCTGAGAGACCCCCTGATCCCTTGTCCTTCCCTGCAGGCTCATGGAATTCATTTTCTGGATGAGATTTGTCTGCTGCCTGACATCTAACAGTGTCTAGGTGGCCTGCAGAAATTAATTACACAATAAAATGCAATAAAAACAAAGGCATATCATAATTCATGAAAATCATGAAATCCAAAATCTATTTCCCCAAATGGGGTGGTACATGAATGAACTGAAATTTATAATGAATCCCCCTCCCCCCAAAATAATGACAGCAGATATTGGAGTAACCAGAAGTTATTTTTTTAGAACAATCAAGTGTGGAATTTTTGTGTGCTTGTTTTAGGATTGTAACATTCCTCCCATCCTCAGGGATGATAAAATACATTCTCTGCCAAAGAAATGCAGTTTCCACATTAGCTCATCTCTCCCCCCCCCCTTTCTCCTTTTTTTCCCCTCTGCACTGCTCTTGTGTAAAAAAAATATTGCACAGCTTATGAATATTCCATAGTTTCCAGCAGGAAAACTGGAACTGGCTTGAAATTTCCATGATGTCATGGCAGTTCACGCGTGGGCTGGACGAATGTCGGATGTCAGCCGTGCAATCCATCATCTGCGTGTTGGAACCTGTCCTTTTTAAAACCAGGCTTGGCCTTGAAGTATACAAAGATAAAGCCCAAATTTTATGCCAGACTTTTCAATCTGTGGGCCGGTGGCTTGATAGACAGCACCTCCCAAACACCATAGAGTAGCCAGCTGTGACTTCCTCCAGATGTAAATTTAACCCCCTTCCAGCTGTTCCTTGAGAGGGGTCATTAGTATTTGCTCTCTCCAGCCCATTTCGGCAATCTGCCAAGGGCCAGTTCATGACACACAGTTGAGTCTCTGCTTTGTGCCATGACAACCAGACTGGGAGGTGGGTTGCAGCATCTCAGGTGAGGCAAGAATAGGAGAAGACTCCTCACCTACTCCTGGTTGAAATCCTGTTGCTTCAACATTCCTGCTCTTGAGTAGGCAGAGATTTGATTTTCTGGCTTCCGGTGCATCAGCTCTGACGACTATGTGGGCATGAGTTTGTTTTGATCTACTGAAGGGGATCATGGAGGCCCAGATAACAGGTAGCCCAGGATCTTCGTGGAGGGAAGGCCTTGAGGTTCAAGGGAGGTAAACTGAGAGTCCCGCCTGCTCCAGGAAAAAACAAAGCATCAACTCCCCTGTTTTCAATAATCTGCTTGTTCCCCTTTTGGAGCAAATGCACCAGGCTGGTAGAAGAAACCTGGGCTAAGCTGTAGGTCACAGAAGAAGTGGTAGAACTAGGAAAGTTTGCTTTCCTTCATTTCTTTGGGACTTCTGTTGGACCATGTCTTGGCTAGTGAGTCCAGAAAATAACTACATTTATTTATTTGTAAACTATACTGGTTTTCCATCTTACTACAGGATAACTTCCCAGCTATTTGCACATAACAGAACAGAATAACAGCGTTGGAAGGGACCTTGGAGGTCTTCTAGTCAGCCCTCTGCTCAAGCAGGAGACCCTGTACCGTTTCAGACAAATGACCGTACAGTTTCTTCTTTAAAACCTCCAATGACGGTGCGTCCACAATTTCTGGAGGCAAGTCATTCCACTGATTAATTGTTCTGTTAGGAAATTTCTCTTGCTTCCCTCCTTGATGAGTTTTCCTGCCTTCAGGTGCTTTGGAGAATAGCTCCCCCCCCCGTCTCTGTGACAACCCTTGAGAGATTGGAATGCTGCTATCATGTCACCCCTAGTCCTTCTCTTCATTAAACTAGACATACCCAATATATATTAGATATATTGGGAATATATATGGCCTGAACAGAAACGAGCCTTCTGGGAATATCCTATCTCCTATTGCCAATGAAAGCAAGGGACCCCCGTTTTGGCAGAGAAGGGAATTGCCCATTCGTAACACTTGATCTCAATTGACTTGACAGCCACCCTTCATGCCAAATTCATTTGCTCAGAAATGTTGTCCTCCTCCTTCATAGTTCCCATTAGCTGATCAACAACCAGGGAATTCTGGGAGTCAAAATCTACACAGCTTAAAATTGCCCAGGTTGAGAAACGTTGCATTAAACTAATTATTGATTGACTGATTGAGGGCTGGGTGTGATCCTCAAATGATAGGGAAGTGCAAACCTGGTCTGCTGGATGCTCTCGCTTGCCCATGCCTCCCTCGCTTAATTGCCGTGAGACTCACTTGGAGGAGGTGGAACAGGGTGGCAAAAGAGGGCAGTTGCCATGAGGATCCTTTGGCGCCACAGGAAGGAGGCAGCTGCGATTCGGATCCAATTCTCAGGGCAGTTTCCTTGCGTCCTGACGTTGCAGCCTCACCCCGATGGAATTGGAAAGCGCCTGGAGCAAGAGGGAAGGGTGGGGCAGGCAGGAGGGGAGGGGAGGGGAGGGAAATTGAAAGGGAAGATCTGGTTTAGAGGTGTCGAGATTCGGACTTTTGGAAAATGGGGCTGATGGTTGGTTGCCCACATGAGGCTTTGGACACTCAAAGTTTGACAAACTAAGGAGAGGAACCCATAATGTTCAGGAAGGCAGGAAACTAAGCTGGAAACTGAGAAAAGCCCAAGCTTTATTGCAGGAAGTTTGTTTTCCCCAGGCATTTTGGGTTCTTGCTGTGTCTGTGTGTTTGTGTGTCTATGGTGCCTGTAACCTTGCAGTTGGAGCCCTGTCTCTTTTATCCATACATCACATGTGCATCACATGTAATAGAGGAAGGACTTTAATCAGGCAGTCTCAGCTGAGATCTTGATTTTTTTCTAACACTCCCCCCCCCCAAAAAAAACACTCTCAATCCCTCACATTCAATAGATCTTTTTGTGGCCTGACTGTTAGTGATCCTCTACCAAACCACCTGGTTTTGATCTGCCTCACTTTGGTCGAAACTGAACACAATTAGGTGTGATATTGGAAGGCGTGTTTCTGCCCTCTATCAGTGAGGATGGAAAGATTCCCCTTGTTGCGATTGTGGTGCTGATTTGCAAACTATTAAACATATTGTGCAAGATTGCCCCACGACAATATGCGTTTTTTGGTTCCCTAGAAGATCTGCATGAAGCAACGTCCGAGGTGATCACCTGGATAGTTGAATTGGACATCCAGTTATGAGGCCACTGCCTAATAATAATAATAATAGTAACAATAATAATAGAGTAGGAGGGGACCTTGGAGGTCTTCTAGTCCAATCCTCTGCTCAGGCAGGAAACCCTATACCATTTCAGACAAATGGTTGTCCAGCCTCTTCTTAAAAACTTCCAGTGTTGGAGCATTCACAATTTCTGGAGGCAAGTTGTTCAGAAGTTTTGTATATAATTGTGTGGATTGCGTTTATATGTTTCCTTTTGTCACATACTCATCATACACTAAATAATAAGTCGACAAAAGCGTGAAAAAAAAATACATTGGCTTAGTGTGCCAGAGAAGATCCATATCAAGGTTCAGATGAACAT